CACCCACATTTTTTGTGCGAAAAGTGCCGGTAACTATTAGGGTGCGACTATGCAGACGCGAGCGAGCGAATTTTCCAAGCGAGCGAGAATATGTGGCGAGAAGAGGCGAGAAGCGATAAATATCAAAACCTGTCAGATATGTGCGAGAACCAGAAATTCGCTCTCGCCAGCGTTATTTCTCGCTTCTCTTTTGTGCATGGTTTTCCTTTGCGAAAACTAAATCGCTCGCAACCTCTCGCTCGCTCTAAATTCGCGTCTGCATAGTCGCACCCTTAAACTAGATGTTCCTAATTGGATTTATCGCTAGTGTAACTATGAGTATGGTTTTTGAAGACTTTTGTACAAAAAGTCAGAAAGTAGGCTTAGAGAAAATCGAGTGGTAATAAAGCCTTACTGTGTGTTTTCAAAAAATGCTTTAATGTAACCAAAAACAAATAGGAAAGTACAAAGAATGTTAAATAATTACAAAATTATTTACTCCAATGTATTTTATCGCAAAAATGGTTTTATAATAGAAAAATATGATTTCCGTCGACAATATATATTCCACCAGCTCTTTTTCGATATTCTCGGGAAAAATTGACTTTCTACCTATTGTCTTTTCCACAAATTGCTCCGGACGAACGTCTGCTCGCAAAGAGAGAATTCGGAGGAGTCGAGTTCCGTATTACCGTAAAAGCACCGATGGGGTCCGTATTTCACGCGTCGCCATCTCAAATTAACTTACGTCCGTCGAGACCAAAATTTAAAAAACGTGAACACCGCGCACATTAATACGTACCCCTAAGTATCTGGAACGGAATACGTGCAACTACACGATTTATATTTTAAAAATAATTAAATTTACTTGGCATTCAAAATTTGCGAATTTTGAAAAAAAAAAAAAAAACAAAAATTTGCTGATTAAATACGGGCAACCGTTTAACTGAAGTAAAACGGGGTTTTCTCTCGCTACGGATGTCTGCCTAGTTCAGTTCGGCCACAATTCGCTACGGTTGACCTTTATTATCGGTTCGAAATGGGGTGGTTCCGTAATACCCGCAGTGTTCCATAATACCACCTTTTCCTCTATAATTTAAAAAATTAAATAATAATAATAATAATTTGAATTCAATAACTGATGAAAGTGTTGGTATTCGTGATGATGCAAATTTGTTTTTTTTTTTTTTTTTTTAAATACAAAAACTAACAATTTTTGGTAATCTTAATACTTATTTTAAGAGTATTTTTATGCAAACATTTTTAAACCAGAGTAAAATAAATTTCATCAACGCAAACCTATACTGGTTCGGCTATGTGGCCCATGGTAAAGTGTTAGTTTACTGTTGAGGAGAATCCCTGCTCGAATCCGACCCAGAACTCCATAACTTATCATAGTTCGAGTCGGAACGTCGTACTTCATTCCTCGTCCATTGTTAGTCTACCTCGTACTCTATTGTGAGTCAAATCTGTCTATAATGGGCGAAATTTCGTCATCAAAATCCTGGATCTGCTATCGCTATAAACAGATGCCAAGAGTAATTCTGGAATTATCACGAATCTATGTTCCAGGGTTATTTATAAAAGCTATTATCTCGGTGAGATATCAATAAAATTTGTTATGGGAAAGTTATCATACGTGTGAAAGCATTCACGATCGATCAAACTTATAAAATATTCCAGAATGAAAACAGGATGTCTCTAATAGTATATATAGTCTCTTGAGGTTTTATATTAATATACGTAAATATAGATAAGTAGATGTAAAGATTATCAATTTGAACGAAGTTTCAGTATATGTAATAATAATAATAATAATAATTCTATAATAAAAATAGGAAGCTGTGCATTAAAAAATATAAGAAAAAAATTTATGTATGCAATATTCAAAACTTTAATTTCCCAGCTATTATAACATAACACGGGAAAGTATTGTAATCGTGTCAATGTTGACCCTCCGGATTTTTGCAAATCTCGACGTTTTTGAGACCCTCTAAACCCAAAACAGCCAAAAACAGAAAAATTTTGGGTGTGCGTGTGTGTCTAAAAATTAAGCCTTTTGTGCTTCTTTATAATTAATAATATAAAAGTTATTTTTTAATAACATCTCGTAACAGATGGCACCACACGCAATTTTAACTTTGAATGTAGTGGTAGTTTTTTAAAATTAAATATGTTTTAAAAGGAGATTTTTGTCGTAATTCGACAAAATTACTCTTTTTAACTTTTTGGTATTACTTAAATTTTATATTCTAGTATAATTGAAAATTATCGAACTTCCTAATGATCCCCTTAACCTCTTATTCGAGTGCGGGGAAAGTCGAACAAGATCCCTTGCCGGCTTTTATATAGATAAAACGTAACGAAAGTTACGATTGGTTAAAGTCCAAGTAGTTTAAATACAACTGATAGTTGAACGATCGATTAGTTAAAAGTGAATTACTAAAATTGTCAATACTGGAAGTGAACAATTGAATAAATGGTCACTCCATTATATAACAGGCAATTTGTCCCTCTTCTAACTTTCTTTGCACGTCGAAAGTAGAGAAATTATTTTAAACAAGCCAAGGGACCGTCCATTAATTACGTGTACAGCTTTTGATCTATTTTCAAACCCTCCCTCTCTGTTGCGTACAATGACTTTTGGAAAATTCCCCTCCTCTTTAATTACGTGTACAATAGTCACTAGATCCCCTGACATTTAAGAAATGATTTAAAACAGTTTTACATATTCACACGACTAGTAACTAAGCTTATAAGAACAAATTCATGTCACTAATAACACCGTGTCGACTCCCTCCTTCTCCATCGTATATAGCGACGTACCTTTCGTCACCCCCTTCCCATAAACTGTACGCGTAATTAATGGACAGCCTCCATGACTTATCAATTTATTTAATTAATGATATTATCACTTTAATTATTTAAGTGTTTTTTTCACATTTTCAAAATGCAATGTTTCCACTCGTTTGTCACCAAGGTAAGAACATTTCTCGTGGTATTATTACCATATTTAATTTACTGTCAGAGAACTTGCGTATCATGTGGCTACCAAACCACGTGATGTGCAAAATCTCTAAAATAAAGTTTCGCGTGATTTCTGATTGGAAATCAGACGTAAAAATCTACGACATAAAATTACACTAAAACAATGGAGACGTCATCATTTAGTCTGTTCGTAAAATGATTTTAAACATGAAAGATAGGACTTGAAACGAAAAAATATATATATTTAAGAAACTAATTCATTGTAAAGTTAATTAAATTACTTCATGACTTCCAATTAATATATGAGCATGTTCAACATTATAAGTGAATTAAAATAGGATAATAATTACATTTTAATTGCCATTTAGCCAAAACCACTTCTGCTTTATCATAATTTTAATTAGAGATGATCTACTTTTAACCGTTCGAATCTTTGTCTAGGTAACTACAGAATCGTTTAGATAATTTAATTAATTAATTAATAACTTAAGTTAATTAAATTTATTTTGAAAGTATGCAGAATTCTTAAAGACTTTTATAAAATAATCGCCATTTTATCACTTCATCCCTTTCTTCACTGTCTCTAATAGTTCGATGTTAAAACTGTTGGGGAGATGCTTCTGTTTCGCTTTAATTGTGATTAATACACTCGGAAAATATAATCAATTATGTATGCTTATTTCCTGAAATCTCCTGTAAAAATCCCCTTTTTGTAGGAGGCAGCAGATATAAAAAAATCAAATTTCATCCACTCCTAATTAAGTTAGAAGGCCAATACTTTGAGAACATATCTAAGTCCGATGACAATGTTTTACAGAAGTGACCCACCCCGAAGCATAACCAAATATAGAATTTAAAGGTGATGTTCATTCATAAGAAATACATTAATTTAAAAAAAATATTAGCGAATGAAACATGTAATCCAGCAGAAGATATATCGATGTGAGGTCAAGAAAGTCATTATATTATATTCTCTAAATAATAAAATTTGAGAAAAAAAATAAAGTTTTTAGTATAGAGGGCATACTACGGAGGGAGGGATAATTTGTAACATATGTCTTTGAGTCCCTCTAAATTGGAGGCCCGAACAGCTACTTTATAAAATGTTTTCTTTAATAATGCTCGAAAAGAATTGATTTTAAAATTCATATTAATGACATTTATTACGTTAATATCAAAATGGGAAATAGCATAAGCATATATCAAAATGGAAAATTAAATAAGTTTTCATTAATTGAAAAATATTATATTTCTATTGCATAATAATCATCGCATAAACAAATATATAAGAGAAGTAGAAAGACTCCACTTATGTTTCGCATAAGCATTCAGTTTCTTCTAACGTTCAATGCACCCATAAGGCAAAGTTGAATAGATGTTACTGTTTGCGACAGTAGGGCACTCAATAAGGTTAAGAACTGGCACGTCTCCCTCACAGTAGCTTGAGCGCTCAAGCTGCTGTAGGGGAGACGTGCTAGTTCTTAACCTTATTGGGCGTGTAGAGAGAAATAGGGTAGACCTGTATGTATGTACTGTACACTTACATCTCTACACAGGCATAAGAGAAGAGCCAAGATTATACATATACAGTATATAAATTTAGACCCGCGTGTCCGGGGCATTTGTCGAAAACCCCTGTTGGTCCTTTATATTTGGTGTTATATATGCCGGCAATCATACGTGTAATTATTTTTTATTCGTCGAAAAGTGCCGGAATATTGTTTTTGTGTTTAAAAAACGTAAAAATAAATGTCAGTTCGTGTTATAACTTAATTTATATATATTTTAATATATATCTTATATATATATCTTTATATATCTATATATATATCTTTAAATATATCTTTATTTTAAAAGCCGTATTAAGATTTAACTGGAAGCCGTGTTGCAAGTGCAGCTTAATGTATACAATATTTGTTTGATAAATGATAAAGATTTTGTCTCATTAGTCACAATCATCCCTCGTAAGGAATCGGCTCGCCCGAGTTTATTAGTTTCGTTCGAGAGTCAAACGAGCCATTCACAGGAAACATGGCGAAGAGGGAGGGTGGCGATCGACTACCTCTCATCTTCTTACTTACAATAATTATACTAAATACGGGAAGATGCCAGGCTCAAATACTCACGGGCCAGGTATTAAATCCTCCATACTTTAACCTGGCCGAGGGGAGGAAGATTTACTCGTCTGCAACGTGCGGAGAGGGTGTTTCCGAACCGGAATTGTATTGTAAATTAGTGGGTGCCAATACGGATCGATTAGACAATCCCAACATCAATTTAATCCAGGGTCAAGTTTGCGATTTCTGTGACGTCAACGATCCTAGGATCTCTCATCCTCCCGAATATGCCATCGACGGAACGGAGAGATGGTGGCAGAGTCCTCCTTTATCGCGTGGAAATAAATATAACGAAGTGAATTTGACCATCGATTTAGGCCAGGTAAGAATTTCGAATGAATTTTTGGCTTAACCCGAATTTAAAACAACCACGCGCTTTGAGTCACGTGGTTACAAGTTTCATTTAAATAAAGTATAACTCCTACAAATATTTAAATATCTGTTATGTTAAATCTTGCTACTTTGTGAAAATAATTAAATAATTAATTTAATTAAATGTAAATTAAATATATGAAATGAGAGGGGCCCCATAATTTTAACAGTAAATTTATGTATGATACATTAAATATAAAGGCCCGACTTCTCTAATGGTCTGGACCTTCTGTGTCTGGGGCCCCTATTACTCTCCTTTATCCGGGCCCGGGGAGCGAATTTAGGGGTTTCCCCCAGAAAACCGGGGAACTCAGCTGGTAAAACATTTATTATATTTTATTTAAACTTAATTTAATGCTTACATTTAATACTTAAAACTCAAATCTTGTCAAAATTTAACAAGATTTACTATAAAATATCTTATCTTGAAGATAAGATAATTGATTTTATTGATAACTTACAAGCGTTAATTACAATACAATATTTCCGACATATTCCGAATACTTTAAATATATTGAAAGCTTAACGAATCCTTATTTTAAAATTATTTTTGTCATTTCTAATGTCCGAAATATGTTATATAATATTAAAAACTTAATTAATGTATGAAATAATTTTAAAAAAACAGGATTTTCTTTCGTTTCGAGTCGAAATTTGTAACTTGATCCCCTCAAAGACTGATGTTCTCCAGATGGAAGAGTGGGTGACTTCCTTCAACTTCTATTCAAAAATTCGCATTTAATTCGTACTTTTTTGTAATTTAAATGAATAGAAACGAAAGAAAATGTTAATAAACTAATCTTAATTAAGTATTAATTAATTAATAAGAAAATGAAAGCAAATTCTTTAGACTTAATTGAACGAAGCGAACTTTTACCTCTTTCTTTATAATTATAACTTTAAGAAAGAGGATGTAAGAAAAATAAATATACCAAGGAAGTAATTACTCCACCTACTTCTATTCAGATTTTTACTGAGATAAAGGGCCAAGCTGAATATATGTAAATGGTTGTAAACTTGGTTTGCCAGATTTAATATTGTTTTTTTAATTGTGTTAGATTTTAGATAATAAATTTAAAAATTCGAATTTCGATGTCAAAGTTGACATATCTTAACAGCTGCGAATCAACATCTTGGGTCACAGTCCAAAAACACGTGGGTGGTTGGTTAGTGTGAGAACTGTAAATGGATCTAATGACACAGTTGGCCGTCTGGCTTCCCCCTTAAATGACATTCCTGTAAAATTCCTTACGATTTTCTCCATTAGTTCATTAAATATTTAAATATTAAACAATTTATACTAATTTTATAATTAGTAAAACAGTTATTCGAGTGTAGTGTAGTTACTTTTAACCTTGTTACACTCCTTTGCATTGTTTCTTTGCTACCGAAAATGCTTATCCTGGATTATTAAGGAGATAAAATGATTTTTTACGAGTAATTTACGACAGTTTTTACTCAAATTATTTGTTAGACGTGTAAAAAGTAAAATTATCTTCAAATTCCGTGTAGATAGGATACGACGAAACAAGAGTCGAAACTCTAACGACGTTGAATGGGAAGTGTCATTTTGTATATCTGATATCCCTGTCGTTATTTATTTTACGATATTTTCTTCTTTATCTATTCATTTTTTCTCCACTTTCAAAAGGATAAAGTGGGTTAATTAATTATTCTGTTTAATATAATGACTTTATTAATCCGTATCGCATCTTGCAGCACCCTTTTATAATTTTAAACTCAGTATTTCTTCTGTTTGAGATATTTAATGCTATTTTTATCGTTTAAAATTATTAAAAACATAACTTATTCTCATTTTGGGATCCGAATTTCACGTTAATTGTTTCCATAGAGTGAAATTCGGATAGGTTTTGAAGTAAATTTTTCATATTATTCTATATAAAATAACACGAAAATATGCTTTTTAAAGATTAAAATATGAAATGTTTTAGTAAAAAATGATCGAAACCATTCACAAAGCTTTATTAATTCTTATAAATTATCACACGAAACAATTTTAAAAAGGTTTTTTTTATAGTGGAAATTAACGTCTCGTAGAGGAAGCAGCCTTGTAATGGTGCATACTAAAGGAATAAATACTCTCAACTTGTCACAAAGCTGATACGTTTACCCATTTTTAATTCGCTATATATTATTTTAGTATAGTGTAGTACGACAATGTGAAAATTTACTTATTTATTGGCAAAATACAAGCGATTTAGCGAGGAATATCTTCAGCCCTCGCGATATGCAACAGCTAAAAGTTAGATAAAAACAGAGAATTGAAATTTCTTTACAAATTAAAATATTTATTTTTGCCTTCATGAGGATGTTTTCCAGAAAATTTGTAAGGAAAATCTGCCATTTTTTCTTAATTGTGTGATATTTAAAGGAAGAAATGTATAGAAACGTTTATATTATTGTAAAAGATAGAAAAGTGATAACTAGGTGCAACGATTTGTTTGCACGAAAATACGTTTCACAATGCAAGAAGACAGAAAAATTGTTTAATTTTCTTGAATAAAGAAATAATTTGCAGCATCCCACTTCAAAAAGCATTCGCCGACGTGTCTTGATTAATAAAATAATAAAATAAAACGAGTTGTGCTCGTAATTTGCATTTTCTCTTGCGCTATTCTTCTCTTCAAAGAATAATATGAAAACTGCCTTTTGTTTCCTGTGTTGTCTGCGCGGCGTAATCCTACCTCCGAGAAGAACGTGGCAAAGGTAATTGAGGCGATAGAAGGCGACGTTTCTATTTTTATCCAACGCCTAGAATTAGAATTTCGATGCTGTGGCATCCCACTTCTTCCAACGTTTTCAACACGCCTATAAAATTTTATTACTAAATTAGCAATTGGAGAAGTTTGTTTGTCTGACAGACTTTTACACAATACTTTCGCATTTTCTGCTTTACCTCGCCATTTATATTAAATCCAGGCTAAATAATTAACGTTTAAGACACTTTCCGTCTTAAAGTGATCAAAGAACTTCAAAATTAGAAAATAAAAAGTAAATAATAGGCCAACAATTATAATATAAGGTCCACATACTTTCAAATATTCAAAAAGTCATATGGATATGCAGCATTATTCTATAAGCTCCGACGTTGTAATTGTATATTGAATAGATAATGTAGAGAGAGAGACGAGAATAATGTTGTGACATCACGAAGAACGGTACATACTTTAAAATCTGTATTGTTACGCAATTGTTACGCTAATAAATAAATAATAATCTCGATTGTAATTGACATTTTGAAATACACTTTCAAAATGTACAGGGTCGAAACCTTCCTCAATAATTCCTGATATTAATGAGTTCGATCCTAAGATAAATGTAACATGAATAAAGATAAATAAAATAAATATTATGTGCCGATACACATCGTTTACTTAGTTTCTGCTCGTTATAAATAACGCAATAAGTAATTGGACACTTCGAGTTAAAAGGCGTGTTGTCTAGTTATAGTTGTCACTATAAATGTGACGTAAATATTCGTCACGCTTTTCTCCCTCGTAACTAGTAGTAAAAATTTAATTCTATTCAAAAATTTTGTCTTATTTTTTATTAAACATTGTCCATCCGTCCGAATTCGAGCCTCCAATAACGGCCACTTCCTAACAACTGGCACCTCTAAACAATGGCTATTTTATTTTGACACATTATAACTCCTGTATGTACTGTACGTGCTGTTTGTGTTTTTTGTTTTTGTATGTATTGTTTGTGTTGTGTTATATCCTTTAAACTGAAGCGTAACCGGAGTAGTTAATGAAACGGACAGGAAATTGGGAGGTGTGTCATTAGTCGGGATTTTCCTAATCCAAGATAAACAGCAGAAAGTAATTAGTTCTTTCCTATCTTTCATTGCAAGCAACGACTTCATTTTTGTATTTCAAATAGATTTGTGAAAATATTTTCAAGATTTTTGTTTCATCATAATTTCACAATTTCTACAAAATTCCCAGACAAAATTAATAGTTCACCCGGACAGTGAGTCAATTCCTGGACTGTCCGGGTGAAAACTGACAGGTGGNAATACAGTGTCTTTATACATGACACTGATTTGGTCGAACGGATTCAATAAACTCCTCTATTTCATTTATTTTTCGTTTTTTCGAGACCATCACAATTGTAGGGTTAACCCTCATTGCCGCCATTGTTAGAATAAAAACCACGTGTCTACTTCGACGTCACAGGAAAGACTTCTCTTTATTGGAGGAATTTTGGCGTAAAAATTTTTCGGCGTAAAAAGTAGAGACATGCTCTACTCTATTTTCAGTTTTGTTTCAGCCAAAATTTCAGAAAAATTTTTACGTTTTCTGTTTTATGCTAGATTTTACGCCGAATTTTACGCATGTGTGTTCCTGGCCTAACAGGTTAGCCACGGGGATTTTCCCGGTTTTCTTCACACCTAAATAGGGGCTAGTTTCGTAGAAAGTCCTCCCGGTAGGCATCCCCCCTTGGCAGATTGCCCACGTGTTGCGTTACCCAGGGCCGGATGCAATAGGTACGAGGCCCGATCTAATTTTTTTGCGGGCCCCTCGAAACTTTAAATAACAAAATTAATTAGCAGTCAATTTACATATCGAAATATAGATTTTAAATATTTATTTAAAACAAAATCCAAAATCTAATTATAAAAATCAAAAGTCACGAACCGTAAGGTAGACAAATTTCTACATTGAAAAACCTGTACCAAATATAAATACAACTACATTTTATTGAATATAAACATACATAGATATGTTTTTCTATATTTTTAAATTAATATAACTACATAAAATTTTGCCACGAAAAATCTAATATGTTGATGAATGAATATAACTGAATTTTATTGAATATAAACCTATAAAGAGATGTTTTATATGTTCCGAAGTTTTTGTTCTGTAAAATCATCTAAAATAGTATCAAAATCCAACTGGCTCGCTTCTTGACTCTCAATCGACACGATCGTTAAACCGTTTAATCCATTCTGTAATTTGAAACTATTTTTAAATATATAAATTTTGATGAACCCCCTTCAAGCGCGGGGCCCGATTGGCGCAAATCGCTCCAATCGCCTCAAATCCGGCCTTGGCGTTACCGTATATGTACTATTAAACCAAACCAAGCCGTTTATCATTTGTTCCAAATCGTTCACGTGACATCTAACCAGAGGATTGAGGGTGACGAAGACTACAGCCTCGTTTGCATATTGTGAAACATAACTCGATTTTAAGATGGCTTATTCATGCAAATTATGTGAATAATCGTGTTATTTATGATAATGTATGGGCTCAATTCAAGCTCTGAATGAGACGGTTGGGACTTTAACAGAGTTGTAGAGCATACCCATAGGAGCAAAAAAATTAAAGGAACCGTATCGCTCTACGTGGCCCTTCGCGAGATGTAGGCCCAAAATTAGTCTATGTGAAATTTTGCAGGGATATTTGTATATAAAGAGCATTGATGATGATAAATTTTGGAGGTTAAAGGTCGAGGTGGTAGGGAGATAGAGTGGAATCACGTATCATGTCTCGAGTGGGATCGGACTTCTTGACGATTTTATTTGTTGGCATTTACAATTTTTTTTTAAATATAAACCTCTTCTATACTCTCAAAATCAAGCTTTTTGCCAACCAATTTTATAATTAATATTATAAAATATTTTAAAAAACTTTTTATAACAGATGGCTTCACACCCAATTTTAATATTTTTGCCGGGAAAGGTTACGCAACTCGTTGCTGGCTTTTTATGTACCGATATCGAAATTGTCGAACAACGTTGAAGAATGTGTTTCTACCAAAATAGTTCATTTACTCCAAAGCCATTAGGCATAGATTCCTCTTACTAGAAAAAAAAATAATATTGAATCTATGTAACAAACAGTAGCAGGCAACCATTTTATAATGATTCATTAACAATACAGTTCGAATTTTAACTGTTTTAGGGTGATGTAAGGTATAAATAAAAACAGTCTCCTTACTATAACTTGTGATATTCATTTCATACCATCCATGTTTTGTCTTTGAAAATACAGGCTGTCATTGTGTCATTGGTTCCCTTACTTAGCTGCTGGTCACCTGGACGCTCCTACAGCGTAGCTTCTAATAATGTGATTTAAGTTTTCCAGAATAAAATATTAATTATTTTTATATTTGCAGGAATTCCATGTGGCTTACGTATTTATTAAAATGGGTAATTCTCCTCGTCCCGGTATTTGGGTGCTGGAAAGATCCATCGATAACGGAGAAACGTATAGACCTTGGCAATATTTTGCCGACACTCCGGGAGATTGTATTCAATATTTTGGAGAAGATTCTTATAAACCAATCGTGAAGGACGATTCCGTTATCTGCGAAACAAAGTTTTCAAAAGTCGTACCGCTGGAAGGAGGAGAAGTAAGTTTAGTGTATTTAATATTTTAGGAAGTTTATTGTATGTCGAGGGTACAATGTAATAAGAATGATTATGAATCAATATTCATTAATTGATGTCCGATGTAATGGAAAGAAGTATCTCTAGATAAATTCTCGAGTGATGATGATAGAATCAAGTTTCCATGAGAAACATTCGAGTTCCGTGTCTATAAAAAACTAGCTTTGTCAATACTTATAAATAATTCAATTTTTTAAATATTCTTTCCGCTCTGGGGCACCAAGAGAGTCTTTTTTCGCGTCCTTAATGCTGTAGTTTTCAACCCCGTTGCCGCGGCACACTACAGTGCCGCAATGACAGTTGAGGAATGCCGAGAAGAGAAATGTTGAGCAGCGCCATAATACTTCATACGTGTATCATTAAAACGAAACATGCCATAACTGTAATAAAGAAGTAGGGTGCCGCGAGAAAAAAATTACCAAGTTGGGCCGCCACAAATACAACAAAGGTTGAAAAATACTGCTTTAATGAGTTCGGACAGACATAAATGTGAGTGGCGAAGTTCAACACACATTTGTGACTGGCCACGAATAATGAAGTACTCACGGTCAGGCACGAGGGATAATGGTATGGTATTATCCCTGGTTGTTGAGCCCAACCTGTTGCCACTTCCGACCTCATTATCTATCAATTAACCCTCAAAATAGACGGCCGAGCGGTCAAGGTGGCAGTCTGTCGCTCTGGGGGACCCGGGTTCGAATCCGGACGGGTCGAGAAATCCCCAGGAATTTTTCGGGGTCTGTTCGAATATGTCGGGCCCCGTCCCTCACCACCCGGTCGCCCCATTGTGGGCCTGGCCGAACCCATAATGTGCCTGCTAAGAAGAGGCCCTCTTAGTGCTCACATGGCGGAAAGAGTAAAAATTAAAAAAAAAACCACAAAACTGTCCTCTTACAAAAAACTAGATAGATTTTCTTGATGTATATTACTTCCGTATTGCCACCGTATTCATTCCATTAGAAATAAAATAAATATTGTATGAAGAAAATGCAATTATATAGATTTATTTTGCATTCGTATACGTTATATTTATACTGCTATATATCAGTAATTATCAACCGGGGTACCGCGAATTTTAGTAATGAGCAGCATCATAATGCTTTTTACGTGTATACAGTAATTAAAAGTTATTGTATATTCATATATATTAAAATTATAAATTGTTTAATAATTTTATAATCATTTTATTGAAAACACTGTACTGTATATAATTTAAACTAATTAATAAGTATTATAAATACATGTACAAAATATATAAAGAACTAATGATGCTTCGGGGAAAAACTACCAAGTTGAAGTGCCACTATTAGAAAAAGACTGATTAAAAAACTATTATTAAAAAACACTGATATATTCAGTAGATTTTCCACTTTTAGGATCTGACTTGGTCTTAAAATAGTAGTTGCTCAGCCAGACTTTTTTCGCATAATGTTATTAGTTGAAATTATCTTATTGGAAATACAATTTTAACTCTTTTTGCCTTGTGGGCACTAAGACGTCTTTTTCAGCAAGTCCTTTATGAGTTCGGCCAGACCCACAATGGGGCGGCTGGGTGTTGAGAAACGGGGCAGACATATCCGAACGGACCATCTCCAAAAAATCCTTTAAGAGGTTTTTCAACCCGCCCGGATTCGGTTCCAGCTCCCTCAGAGCGGTAGGATGCCACCTTGACCGCTCGGCCATCCGGCCGTCTAGTCATTTGCGGCTGTTATAGCCTACGGGCCTAATATAATCTTTTTTAAAATACCCATTACATGTTCTTTCAGTCCCTTAGTGAAGCGACCGAGTGGCGAAGAACGGAGCCCAACATATCCGGGATAGACCATCCCCAAAAAGTTCTTGGGCTTACTAGCCCGGGTACCCCAGAACGGTAAACCTCGGTCATCCGATCACGAATTTTAATCTATAACGAAAACAGAGTTAAATGTGATGTATGCTAATAAACACAACAATAATAATATTGACCTTTAATTATTAATATTAATTCTAATAGCCACTCCTCAAAATCAATCAAATATATGTGAATATTTTTTATACGATTGTTTTCAAGTGCTAATATTAAGTAAGAAAATAGTAAGTTTATATACCAGTTTTGTTCATAAAAATTATTTTATTCGTAACAAAATTTTAATAAAAGAAACTTGTAGATTGTTCTTATTGATTCTAACTGTATAGCATTTATTCTCTTCGCTTTTTCTATTGTAAGATTTACTTACACAAATTATTTTTATCGCAATATTCAATGAAATTAAGAACTGCTTAAAATAAATAATTAGCTTAAAATTTCACTGAGGAGTTTTCTCTTATAAATCTGAAATTGATTATTTCTATCGTTGACATCAAAGAATATTAGGATGAACATAGTGGATTTTTCAGCGGTCAAAGAGTTGGCAACGTGTTCACCCAAATTAAAGAATAGTGCCCTCTTGTATCCATTATATAGATAAATAAAAATAAAATCGAATATTTTAATTAAATATTGTCAACCATTTTCAGTTTAAATAAAAACAATTATAAGTTTATAAAATATTTTTAATAACAAAATATATAAAAATATTTTGTAACTAAAATATTAGAAATTATTCATCAGTCTGATAAGCGATTTCTTTGATTTGCATAAATTTCATTTATTCTGATAAATATTATTTCGAGCAAACTTTTATGTAGACAAATCAAGTTTAAATGATACTTTATATTAAAAATATTCAGATAATTATTAAAAAAATAATATTTTTATTTTTTTAAACCTATTCATTAAGAATTATTATTTATACACTCGAGAATAGATCTAGTTTAAAAATTTAATTTAGTTTAATATAATGCAATTTTTATGTTAATGATTCAAAATTTCATTTTAAATGTAGTTTTTAATATATTAAAATTTGAAATAAATTTCAAATATATTGTCGGATATTTAGTGGCGTATTCCATATGACGTCATCGAGCGCGAGCAACGAATTACCAATAATAACGAAGTTCGTTATAATTTAAATTTTTTTATGTATCTGTTACGGAGAGGTCGTTGGTTGTACGTTCTCGACATGGAAGAAAACAAATCTATGAATTTAAGCAGAGTTATCCAGAAACACGCTGGAAGAGCTAAGCAGATATTTTTGCAAAATTTCGGAAAAGCCGACAAAACAAAAGATGTAATATTTGAAGAATATTTAGACGAATTCAATAGATGTCTACTTTCAGTAAGAAGATTGGATAAAGAAATTAAGAATTTCTTGTCTTGTTCCAAAGCTATGAAGGAAGCTAGTAAACAGCTTACGGATTCCTTTATAAAAAATTATAATATTCAATATTTAGATTTTAACGGACTTTCTAATCATCTTCAATGTTTAGAAACATCGTGGGATGTGTTTATTCGGGAAATAATTGATCAGATAACTGTACCCATATCGACGTACCTGAACCGTTGTAGTAAATTGAATGTTAAAATCGCCAAGAGGAATCGTAAACTTGTCGACTACGACGGTTGCAGGCGTAATCTGCAATCTGTACGCAATAAAGACGAAGTAATAATTAGTAAAGCGAAAGAACAATTTGAAGAAGCCGGGCGTCGTTACGAAATGATCAACGACGAGCTTCTCCGAGAATTGCCCGAACTTCTCGAGAAAGGAGTTTGGTTCCTGACTACAAATATGGAAAGTTTCTTCCAAGAACAAATAAAGTTTAATAAGGAATATGCAAATGCCTTAACAAATGTCATTGATGTCTTCAAACAATTTGAATATCAACCATTAAATTCTAAATATAGACCATTCAATGGTATTGGTGAAGGCAGCATGGATTTTACTGAAGATCTCTGTACTCTTTCTTCACCAAAGAACAGTACATCTTTGTTTAAGACTGATTTGAATAGAAGAGTGTCGACACCTATCGAAGCTAATTTTAAACAAAAATCAAAATTTGGAATGGTGGAAAGGAAATATTTTTCAAGAAGTAAAAGCACCGGATGTATTAAATCTATCGGCGACGTAACTTCTATAACGTCTATAGCCGGAACGGAAAGTGATTTCGATAAATATAAAGAAAATTCCGCAAACTGCACGGTGACGACTGTGGACGGTTACGACATTCCCGTCGATGCCAATATTGAAAATTTACCTTCCGGAGTCTTATATAAAGTGAAAACGTTATACGGATACGTTGCCGAAGATTTGGACGAATTAAGTTTTGAACGTGGAGAAATTATCAGAGTAGTAAGGTACGACGAAACGTACGAATGTGCCGAAGGCTGGCTCTGTGGTATTAAAGAATCTTCGGGAGAGAAAGGACTCTTTCCTGCTAATTTTACAGAACCTATGTAATTGCTCCTCATTTAAATAAATTCAAGCTATTATTTGAGTCAATATAAATTGATTTATATGAAAATTTGATTATAAGATTAATATATATTATAATGATATATTTCAAATATATGATTATTTGTCATAAGATGAATTCTAATAATAAAATGATATTTATTTTATAATTATTCCATAATTTTAAAAATTGATTAATGCATTATTGTTATTGTGTATGCTTGTTAAATATAAATTCTAAAATTAGAATATATAAAAATTCATTTATAAGATTAAAAAATTGGATAAGTTTAAAAATATATTTGTAATTTGATTTTTTATGCATTCACTTTTATATTTTTGTGTTTTTAATGCTGCTTTAATAAAGTCAAATTAAAAGTAAATGGCATTATTTAAATTCATTAATTCATATAGAATGGAACTTTGTTTTAATATATTTAATTTTATTAAATATGTAAGTACATTTCAAACATAATTTAAAATTTTGTTCTATAATTATTTTAAAAACAGAATTGATTTAGAAAACATTTACTTTCAGATTGTTGTTTCGCTCTTAAATGATAGACCCAATGCGGATAATTTTTCGTATTCGCCAATATTGCAAGAGTGGACTAAAGCAACTAATGTTCGCTTGAGATTGTTAAGAACAAAAACGTTGCTAGGGCATTTAATGTCCATTGCTAGGCAAGATCCTACAGTTACAAGAAGAGTAAGAACCATTTTGAAAGTTTATTTACTTTATTTAGCTTTATTAGCTGTTTTAGAATAAGCTCTCTTATTTGATGATGAAAATCAGAAAAATTTACAAATATAGTTATTACTTTATAGTAATTTGAATAATTTTAATTAAAAAATAGTTATGATTATTTTATGTTTTTTGTCTGATCTTAAGATTATTTTGAGATTCTCAATTGAAATCCTCTTAAAAATGAAATACAGTTTAACCCAGGAGTGGCCAACAGTTTTTGCCTCCTGGCCAAACTTTTTCCACGGGCCGAACCAGAGGCTGCCCTAGGAAGATTGAGGTGGTGCAAGATTTCATTGTTGTGTCACCCCATAGAGACTGAATTGTAGACAGAGATTACAGTTACATTTTTCACATTATCATGCTTTATCAACACACTATGCTGTACTTATGAGATTTGTAATGGAGGGTTAACTCTAAATGCACAGTGAATTGTTGACCTTTTTTTTTATTTTAGGCATCAGAATTTTTCATTGAGCTATTCGGACTTCAGTAGCTAATATTGAAAGATTGATCACGGGCCGTATGTTGGCCATGCCTGGTTTAGCCTGACTTTCTCAAACATGTTTATGTCTAAACATCTGTTTTGAAATTTATTTTTCCTCCTGTATTTTCAGCCTACATTCAATATATTTTCCATGTTTATCTCAATTTTCTCCCAAAACCTCTATATCTCAAATTATGGACTGAAGTGTCAATTATAAATTCAAAGCTCTAAGACTACATTTTGATAGCATAAATTATAGTTGAAAAACATCTCTTGCAATACAGTATACAGTTGCAATTAATGCTGCTTTTCTCCAATTGATGAGTTTGGCTTGTTTCTTATTGGTAGACAAAAGTCAGGCATCAGACAACTATTGACAAACTATATCTGTTAAGGTATTTCAAAGATGTTTTATTTATACTTAATTCAGGTTATGAACTGTACTTGCTGTTATATTAATAAAGACTGTACCTCCAATCAAACCTATTACTGTTTACTGTGTAGAACCTCTATATCTTGAAATCTATCTCAAATTTTTCTTCTTCTTCCCATGAGGTTCAAGATAGACAGGTTCAACTGTATAATAATGACCCTTGTCACTGTGTGTACTGTATTGTGATTATTGTCATATATTTTAGAAAACTTCTCTGATTCTTTTGGTGTTTATTTTCTAGTTGTATTTATTATATATTATATGAATGAACTGTTATTCTGATAGAAGTTAACCATATATACTTATATATATATATATATATTTACTTGATCTATATTAGAATAAACTTCATATAAATATGAAATATGTTATTACCAACAAAAAAATATTTTAATAAGAACAAGTACTTTTGGTTTAACTTAGACCATCTATTCTCTATCAATCAAATACATTAAATATGTTAAAAATTCATTGCATTATGGAACAAAAATTTAGAATTGTGTTACAATGTGTAAGGAGCATAAGTTAAATATAAAGTGAAATAAATTTGGAAGTATAATAATAAATAAATAAAGTGTATTTAAATGTATAGTAATAAGTAAATCAATGAAATAAATAACAAAGTATTTAAAACACCAAGCAGTAAAATTAACAATAAACAAATAAATAATAAAATAATAATAATAACAGTTAAAAGTATAGTCCTGAAGGGGTTTTTCCCCCATCAACACTAGGGATTCTCAATGTGTTGATGGAAAAGTCAGATACTTGATGTACTTTCAAGAATTTCAGATAATTTTCAAGTAAGAATAATGACAGTCATGTGGGACATTCATTAACTGATTTAATAATTTGCAAGAGGAGTTAATTGAATTAAAAGAGGATCTGGAGTCTAAAGCTTTATTCCACACACATGGATTCACCAAACTTTGGAATCAAAGATATGTCAAAAATATATCAAATTAAAAATTGTTACGGAACCAATATTTTCAGCTTTTCCCAGTTCCTATCTAGTTGAAACTGGTTTTAGTGATGTAAATAATTTATTAAGAAAACAAGAAAAAGATTAAGTATAACAGAATGTGGTGACTTAAGAGTATTATTAAGTAATTTTTTATCTTATATAAAAAATATTACTGCTACAAATCATGCACAGCAATTACATTAAGAAAATTTAAAATATTAAAAATTAAGTGTTCTAATATGTTATGTATTTTATATGTTTTATTGTATACTTGATGTACATATACTATATTTCTGTAATAAGATTTTACAAATTGTATAATATGTTTTTGTAAAATAATTATTCATATCATAAACAAACTTGTAAATGAGTAATTACAATCACTTGCATGCTTGTAATTACTCATTTTTTATGGTCAACTTGTATCATAATATCTCAATCTATTAGTGATATCAAAAAGTTATAAACACAGAAATGTAGCCCTTTGAAAACTGACTAAAGTGTAATAATAAACATAAAAGTGATATAAGTTGAGTTATACCAGTTTTCACAGGACATAGATATGAAGATAAATATTAAAATTACTTACTTACATTATAATATATGTTAAACAGAAACATGCAAAACATGTACTTCAAAGAAAGAAAAACTATAACTGCAAAAATAGGTTATAATATATCCAATCCACCTAGTCAAACTCAGGGCTCTGACACAAAAATTACCTACAGAATGATGCCGAAGTTTCACTAGTGCCATCTGATTGCATCTGTAGCATTTCATAATTTCCAATTATGAAAAACTACATAACAATATAACTCATTCTACAAAACTGTTAATTTAGTTGTAATGTGTATTTTTATTTTTACATTTGAATATCTTACTTACATTGTATTTTTGGGGCTACAATAAAATTATGTGGCAATAAACATTATATTTTTCTCAACGAACACTGCTTTATTCTGAACTTCACCGAACAGATCTATTGCGCATATACAAACATTATCTAATTCTCAGTGATGATGTTAGATATCGAAGCAGTAGGTAATGTCATTCTTAATTATTAATCCTTGAATATGGCGCTAATAATATAGTAATTTGCAATAGTAATAAAACAATGGCACATTTAGAACCTATTATGGGCCCCAGTTAATTACGGGCCCCAGGCAAGTGCCTTGCCTGCCTTGTGCCAAATTAGGCCCTCACTATAGTATGTTTAACATAGCGATGAGATATTTTGAACTTTCTTCAAAGTTTTCTAGTGACTGTCCAACTTTTTGACTGTCTCTGTTTCTGATGACTCTCTTTTGCTATATATTATTTTAATTCTCTTTTGCCTAATCCCTGGACATCTAGTGAGCTAGTACTGGCCCTTTCTAGCTTTTCTATGTTGCTATAAATTATCTTTCTTGCCATTCCCATATCTGCAAAGTGCTTAACTGTGAAGCTTCTCACTTTTTTCATTATGTTGTTTTTAAATTATATCAATTACAATTCTTCTTTGCTGTTCATTATGCTGTTCCATGTTTTCTTTTGTGCTGGAATATTGTTTCCACAACAACATGAATTTAATCTATGGAATCCGAGCAACAATCTATGCTAACACATTCTCAAATTTATTTTTAAAAAATAGTAAATATGCTTGCCAAAATTTTGCAGATTTTTAGTTTACACACCTGTATATCAAAGTTTTTTCAATTTCTGGGATCTCATATAGTCCCATGATAGTGTTGTAAGTCTTTGTTATTCCTTATTAGTGTATATACAGAGAAAATTTTGTTGATAGATGGCATTGTATCCTATATAAAATAGGATCACTAAATAATCTCCTCTAAACACACTGTAAAAATAAACGACTTACTTCTGCAGTAAACCAAAACAGTGCTTATTTCCAAATATTTCTACCCGTTTCACCTGAAGAAGAACTAAGTTCGGAAACGTTAGTGGAAATATTTGGAAATAAGCACTGTTTTGGTTTACTGCAGAAGTAAGTCGAATAGGATCACTTTATATATTTTTCCTGTTCTTTCGTTTATGTTATTACTATTGTTTTTTTGTTGTGTAGGTCAACTTTTTCTGAATGCTATTTTATACATAATGACCAATCAATGATAAAGGTAGAATAAAAACAAGAAAAACCAGGTGTCTATAAAGTTCCTTATGAGAACATCCAACTAGATGTTAAAAACTATATCGGCATCACCAACAGGAGCTTGGGAGTAAGGCTAAAAGAACATAGATATAACATAAAAAAAGGATCCAATACTACGATTTTGTCGCAAATGTCGCAAGTCCAAGGTTCGGTGGTGAAATGGGACAAGGCAACAATTATAAAACCTGCATTTTCCCCCACTTTATCAATGACAGCGGAGAAGATTGAAATATATAGAAGTAGGCTACGTGAGGGATGTTTAAATGTGAGAGATGCTGAGAGCCTGCCGTCAGTGTGGAAGTACAGTACATGGTTAAAAAGTTCACTAAACACTCGGGCTAGAATTAGTTTATTGGAAGATTTATGATATTTTGTTGTTTTTAATTTTATTTTGTGTTAATTTTATATGTTCTTCCATTTCTCTTGTATAGTTTTAAAAATTTTTTGTTCTAAATTTTGATTTAAATATTTGTATTCTATACATGGAACGTATCTGTTCCATTTTTTGTTTTTGACCTGACAATTTTTTGTTTTTGAGCCTGTTAATCGGGCTGAAAATATTTGTTTTTCAATTATATATTTTTCTCAGCAACAGATTAAGGTGTTTTATTTCTGTACAATCTTTGTACGATTTTCTTGACATGATACAACAAATTTTTAATGTATTTCATAGATAGAGAACCTGAAAATGGTGTAAATTAGACTAAAATTACTTGTTCTTAGCAAAGTTTCAATTGGTGTTTGGAATTAGTAATTGAAACTAATTAGAAGAAAAAACAAATACTATGGATTTTAGGAGTCAAAGCTTTAGTGGGTCTTCATCCCATCATTTTGATCATATAAGATGTTCTCATTTGAATTTCTGTGTATCAAATATTTTGGTGTAATGACAGGACTGAGGTCTTATAAAATGTTTTACAATAAAGCTTATACTTTTAAAATCTGTAGTTTGTTTTTATCCTCCTTAAGTCACCTGGAGTCACCCAACTAAAGCTATTGAAAACAGTTAAATTATATAAAAATCGCATATCTTTTACATGAAAACTTGTTTGGTATGTTTACTAAATAAATATACCAAATAAAAAGTATAAATCTTATTAAGATAGTTGTGAAGGATTTTTTTTAACTGGATTTCTACATGTGATTATATAATCAGTTCTCTTTTGTCCTAAAAGATGTGAATTATAATTTGTTTTATGAAGTCTTACATTTTCACAATATTATTATAGGAAACATAACCATTGCATTTTTATTTCTTTAGATATTTTAGTTGTAATATGTATCTTTACAATCCACACACATTCATATCGTTTTATATAGCTTCAAGGTATGAAATGTTAAAGAAACAACCCTTGCACCAGAGTTTGTGAAAATTATGAAAAACTTTATTAAACTATAAATGTTAGTACTGGACTTTCTGATTACAAAAAACAAAATATTGCAACACTAATAATTATTGGGTTGTTCGGAAAGTAAGTTCGTTTTTTTTACCACTAGACGGATTAGTGGTATTTTTCCCGCCATTTTCGTTCTAAACCGTATTATCATTATATATTTTGACAGCTAGCATTTTATGGCTTATTTGTAAAAAATTTTGTTTGATTTTGTGCAATTGTTTATTTTTTGTGTCCCATCAAATATGGAAGATCGAAAGCAGCATCTTCGGCATATTTTGCTTTTTTATTACCAAAAAAATAAAAATGCCGTTCAAGCAAGAAAAAAATCATCTGACATGTATGGTGGAGATGTGTTGACAGAACGACAGTGCCAAAACTGGTTTACAAAATTTCGTTCTCGCAATTTCAGTATTGAAGATGCACCACGTTACGGATGGCCAATTGAAGCCAATGAAAACAAAATAAAAGTACTGATTGAAGCAAACTGCGGAATAACAACATGTGAAATCACTAAGAGATTAAATTTGTCAAATTGAACTGTTTATGAGTACTTGAAATAAATTGGTTTTGTTTCAAAGCTCGATATATGAATTCCACAAGTTCTTAAAGAGAAATGCTCTATTTGGTGGGATATTAAGGGAATTTTTTTTTTTTTGGAGCTTTTACCAGAAAATTTAACAATTGATTCGAAAGTGTACTGCATTCGAGTAAACAAATTGTGTAATATCATCAAACAGAAAAAGCTGGCCAGAATTGATAAAAAAAACAGCTGTTGTGTTTTACCACAATAATATCAAATTTCACACAAGTTTGGTAACTGGTCAGAAACTGTTATAACTTAGATGGGACGTGCTATCACACCAACAGTATTCGCCAGATCGAGCACACTCAGATTATTACTTGTTCCGGTCTATACAATTTTTTTTAACTGTAAGACATTTACTTGAAATGACAATGTCAAAAATCACTCGGATCGGTTTTTTGTAAGCAACGATCAAAACTTTTATGAATGTGAAATCTTGCTACTACCAGAAACGATGACAACAGGTATTTGACCAAAATGGTCAACATATAATTCGATAAAATATTTATTTATTATAAGAATATTGCATTTTTTTCCCGTGGAAAAAAAACGAACTTACTTTCCGAACAACCCAATAGTATAAAACTGTAATATTACAAATTACAATTCTGTATGACATGAATAAAGCAATAAAATTGACTATTAGTACAATTTACAAAGTTACAGTTATTCAAACATTTTACAATTAACCTGATTAGGGAGAACTGAACAGAAGAAAATTTTTAAATCAGCATCACTCAAATCAGTTACTTATAAGTTGACAGCTGTACACTGATCAGAAGCTGTGTCAGTTTGACAATATCTTTTATACTTTGTTGATTTTTGTTGTTTTTATACTTTGTTTCTGAACAAGCTGACAAAAAGTATAAGTTTTCTTACTATGTGTATAAAATATAGCAAAAATATTATTCAATATTTTATTCATATTTAAATCCTAAATTAGTAGGATGCAATTCTATTGGTTATTCAAATGTTACTATGAAATTATTCAAATTGTGCTTTAGTTGGAAAGTATTGAGAAAGCAGTTGAGGTTTAACAACCCCAAAACTCAAAATAACTGAAACAAAATGAGAAATGAAATAAATAATGCAAATAATTAAATATAATTATAAATTAAAATTTTTTTCTTGCGACTTTATATAGCAAAATTGGGTATACCTGACTTTCTTATATCAAACATAAATCTTATGTTGAAGTTGAGGAACTTTGAAAACATTTATCACTAATAAATAAATAGTTTAAATCTGTAAGATGCTTTTGGTGTTACTCATATTATTTTGTACAGATTCTACTTACTATATTTATAGTGAAAAAATAGTTTGAGTTAGAGAAAACAGTTTTTCAAAGATAGAATTCTTTGAAGATTATTTCAATTTTAAGTATTAAAATTCTACACATTTTTTAAGACTGGAAATTCCAGACAGCATAATTGGTTTCTTAATAAATTTATTATTACTTTTTGATCTGATTTTTAAATTAATTATAGTGATAATGAAAAATAAAATTTATAATTCTAGAATTTCTGGATTTAGTTTCAAACAATTTAAATTTTATTTTAAACATTTATTACCGTATTTTGATGAGTATAAGTCGCTGTCAAGTATAAGACGCACCCCTATTTTGAGACAAAAAATTTAGAAAAAAACTGTTTTAATGGGATTGTCTAAAGATGCATTTTATTTGTTTTTTTATTTAAGAATATGGTGGATGGATGAATCGATACCTTTATTAAACTGAATTAATCGTCATTTCTTAATGTAAACTCAGAGGTCATGTGATGACAGTCGACAAAACATGGCGGCGGTGATTCATGTGTTGCTACTCTGATAATCTAGATACTCTAGCCATTCGTTTGAGGGACCATCTGTTTAGCGGACCACTGCACNAATTAAATATTTGTTTCATATATTTTAAGAGCTTTGAGCCCCAAAAAGTAGTAAAAAAAAGTGCAACTTATACTTGTCAAAATACGGTATTATATATATTTTTGAAATATAGTAAAATTGATGATTTTGTATTCTAGTATTTTTATAGTATTAAAGACATCAACATTGGTGGCCGTTGTGTATGCAATGGCCACGCAGACTCGTGTGACATCACTGATCCGAACGATCCTTATAAACTTCTTTGTCGTTGTCAACATAACACCTGTGGAGCACAGTGTGATCAGTGCTGTCCTGGCTATGTACAAAAAAAATGGAGACGAGCGATAGCGGGAAACCCATTTGTTTGCGAACGTAATTATAATTTGCATTTAAAGCATAATTTTATTTATTTATTTGTTTTATTTATGATACTGTCCTTTTTTTCCAGCTTGCAACTGTTTTGGTCATTCTAATGAATGTGTTTATGATGAAGACATTGACAACAAACATTTGAGTATAGACATTCATGGCAGTTATGAGGGTGGAGGAATCTGTTTGAGCTGTCGTCATCACACCACTGGTATCAATTGTAATGAATGTGAAGAAAAATATTATAGACCTTATGGAAAGCAACTGAATGACACAGATGTTTGTCAAGGTAATGTATTCTATCTTTTTCATAAAATAAATATGATTATATATATAATATTTAATGGAAACATTCCAGATCCGCCCAAAAACTAAATCTAAAGTATTTCATTTTCTTTTATGATTCGTGGCTTTGCTTTACAACAACAAATCTAAGACTCGCTATTCTTGGAGAAAATGAAACCAAAACTAGATGTAATGTGAAAATCTACTTCAAAAAATGAGTAAAACATGAATTTTATGTTGTTTAATATTATTTTTGCATTTACTTTTTTGCAAATAAAGTAAATTAAATAATGACTAGAGGAAATAAATAAAATGGAGACTAAAAAGTTCATAATAATAGTGGTCTGCAGGATCCCAAAAAATGTCTGTAATAATGGGAGTCCATTACAGCAAATGAGTTTTCTTATAATTTTGCAATACTTCTAGCCAGACCAACATCAGCCATCCGTAATAACACATGGTCCATAATATTGACCTTTTACTGTATTTCACATAGAAACTATGAGTACTTGTATCAGCTTATGTCTACTGTGATTTGATGTTGATGATCCAATTTTTATGTTATGATCAAACAAACAATTTACTAGATAGGAGGAGACTCAAAGATGTCAAGAGCTAACTGTGTTTGTTATTGTATATACTATTGTTATAACTCCATAGGCCGAAGACTGTGGATTTAGACAAATAACTAACAGGTCGGCTTACAATCTGACTAATACTTTTAATGAAAACACAATGGTTATTGACAAAAGAATACCTATGGTATCAACTCTGATGAATTACGACTCTCACATTACAAAAGTTTCTTCCACTCTCCCTCCTCCTGATTTGTTCATGCACTACATGTAGTAATGACCTGACAACTCATAACAAGACAAAATTAATAAAATACAACAAAAACAAAAGAAAACAAACATGAACTGAGATTACTCATGACACTGTAATAATCACAACCTGGTAATAATGATCAAATAGTTGTACCACATGAACACTGATACACCTGTGTGATACTTTCGTTGGTTCTTTCTCCCTTTTATTATAATCCTTCTCGAAATTACATTTTCATCACCTCGATGGAAACGAATTGCCTCCTTTAAGAAAAATATTCTTATAATTCCAGTCCTCACTTGTCGATGTTGAAGATGTTTCTTGTTGTCACTCGTTAGGTAAGCGTCCTCCAAGATCTCCATGAAAAAGAATACCTTTCACACAAAGTCTCTCTATTTATATCTCCCACTACCGGAAGTCTGGCTTTCTCACATGATGTGCCTCTGAGCCAATCCTGTGGCTTCTCCTGCAAGCCCCAGGAAAGGGCGGCATGGGACAAAAAGGAAGAGCACGTATAACAAAAATAAAAAAACCCAGTACAAAAATAAAGCACACTGGATACATAATGTATACACATATACATGAGGGAAAAAAAAATATATATATATATATATTTTATATATATATACACAGCTAAGTAGCAAAGCACTACGCTATGCATTCCAAGAAACAATTAAATTTTGAAAGTATAAATAATTATTAAATTATAACAAAAAAATTTTTTAGTAAAATTTTATAGTTTGTAATTTGAAATTTACAATTATTTATTTATTTTTAGAATGTATTTGCGATTTATCATTTTCTACTGGTAACTGTGCTGATGGGACCGGTTTATGTGAATGCAGACCGGAATTTCTTCCACCCTATTGTGATCAATGTAGTCCAGGTTATTATGATTATCCAACCTGTCGTCCCTGTGATTGTAATATTAATGGCACACAGGGTGCCATATGTCAAGTTGGTGGTGGACAATGTCCTTGTAAGCCAAATTATTCAGGTCTGAGTTGTGACAAATGTGCCGAAGAATACTATAATTTTCCAGAATGCCTTCGTAAGTATTATTTTAATTTTACATTAAATTAATTAAACTATTTAAAATCAGAAAAAGATTTTCTTATGTACTTCAAACTGTTTTTTGACTTATCAATTAAATATTTGTTTCATATATTTTAAGAGCTTACAAACAACAATTTTCTAAGATTTTATTATTATAAATTATTTATGGTTTGAAAGATAGTGCCATTATTATAAGAATCTTTCCCCTTTGATCATATTAACATATCACACTACATGAATATGGCCAAACAGTAATAATAACAATCAGAATACTTTATTACTAGAATTGTTTTCAAGTATCTTGCTTCATTATCAGCAAGTTAAATGTCAGAATATGCTCTTCTAGTTTTTTAGAATATTAAAATAGAAGAGGATAAGTTATAAATTAAATATAAATCATTGAAACAAGTTTCTTAGTGATAAACCAGGATTATTTTCAGAGTTAAGTCCTAATCATGAGCAAAATCTTACAAATAAATTTATACTCTAAATCAGGGATGAGCAACACGCGGCCCGTTAAACATGTTTATGCGGCCCGCCAAGCATTTTTTAAAATTGAATTTATTTTATCGACTTTCTCTCATCAATATATTGTTATAAAATTAATTATAATAAAATGGTAGTACATACTAAACCGAAACAATTTTTTGTGACGAGTTACTCACTTGTCGGCGACTTGTTCAAACATGCAATACGAACGCGCCGCGTCTGTGCTTGTTTGTGTTTGCTTCTGTCACACAATCAGTCAGACTGGTAAGCTGTTAACTAGCAATTTTAGCAATTCTTGTGTTTCTTGAAAGGCGTGAGTGCAATATTATTGTCAAAAAGGTAATATTAGAGTTTTTTTTATTCAAAATTAAGTTTTCCTACAAATTTTTTTAACTTTCAAATTTTTAATCCATAATAGCATGTCGGAAAAGCAAACAAAAAAACGGAAGGTTGCGGATGAGCACAGGCATTTCCAAGAAAAGTGGAAATTTGATTATTTTTTCACTTTCGTCGAAGATAAAGCTGTATGCTTAATATGCTCAGAGACTGTGTCGACATTAAAAGAATATAACATAAAAAGGCATTACGATACAAAACATGAACAACAATATAAAAACTTAACAGGACAACTCCGGATAGATAAGTTTAATCAAATGGAGAAAAACTTGGGAAAACAACAGGCTATTTTTAAAAATCAAGCTATTTTATCAAATACGGCAGTAAAGGCTAGTTTTGTTGTCAGTCAAATACTGGCAAAAAAAATGAAACCCTTTGCGGATGGAGAGATGATAAAAGAATGTCTGACTGCTGTTGCAGAAATAGCATTTCCTGATAAAATAAATATTATTTCAAACATTAGTTTATCAAGATTCACCATTGCAAGGAGAATTGAAGACTTGTCCGAGAACATAGCAACAACGCTTCGTGAACGCATTGCAAAATTCGAATACTGTTCTTTGGCACTTGATGAGAGTTGCGATATTAGCGATACAGCACAACTGGCTATATTTTTACGTGGTATTGACACCAAATTTAATATTACCGAAGAATTGTGTTCACTGATTCCAATGCAAGGGACTACAACCGGCAAAGACCTGTACGATGAACTAAAGTCTGTGTTGGAAAATTTTTCAATTTCATTAGAAAAGATTATTGGTATATCGACAGATGGAGCACGAGCAATGTCAAGCATGGAGGTAGGAGTATCGGGAAGGCTATTTCAAGACATTAAGAAGGTCACAGGAAGGGAAATATTCGTTAACCACTGCATAATTCACCAGGAAAATTTGTGTGCGAAAAGATTGAGTTTGCCAAATGTCACAGTACCAATAATTAAACTAATCAATTTTATAAAGTCGCGCGCGTTAAATCACCGTGAATTTAAAGAATTCCTGAAAGATTTAGAAACTGAATATGGCGACGTGGTTTTTAATACCGAAGTACGTTGGCTTAGTAGAGGTGCAATGCTAAAAAGAGTATACAACTTAAAAAGCGAAATACAATTGTTCTTGGATATGAAGGGATATGCCTTTCCTCATTTTGGTAATAAAGAATGGATGTGCGATTTTGGGTTTCTTATCGACATGACTCAGCATCTCAATGATCTTAATGTGGAACTTCAAGGCAAAGGACAGTTTATTCACAATTTGTATGATAAAATTCAGGGCTTTGAGCGCAAATTAAAATTGTGGAAACAGCATCTTTTGCAGAATAATGTGTCTCACTTTCCACATTTAGAAAAAGAAAACGTTACTACTTCTCAAAAATACGCACAATATATAGACATTTTAATCAACGAATTTCAATTACGATTCCAAATGTTCAAAGCTGAGAAGACAGCGGTTTCCATGAAAATGTTTTCCTCGCCATTTAATATCGATGTGGATACAGTTCCCGAAGACTTTCAAATGGAAGTGATTGACATGCAGAATAATACCGATTTAAAAAATGTATTTTTCTCAGTAAACATCGAAAATTTTTATAAATCTTATGTGAGCCCTGAGAAATTTCCGCTTTTGACGAAAAATGCAAAGCAAATGATGTCTCTGTTCGGAAGTACGTATGTTTGCGAACAATTATTTTCAACCATGAAATTAATCAAAAATGACCACCGATCAAGACTGAGTGATGCACGATTAGAAAGCTGCGTACGTGTAGCTACCTCATCAATTCCGGCTGATATTGATCAGCTTGTATCGAAAAAACAGTGCCAAATTTCTCATTAAAAATTTCAAGTAAATTCGTTTTTCTGTTCTTTTCTTGTTTGTTTTTATTTTGCATTAAAATTTGTATATGAAATCTTTACTTTTTTTTAAATTTTATATTTTTTTATTCTAATGTTTATTATAAATAAAGTTTTGTAAATTATTAATAAGTGTTACTTTATGTGCGGCCCGCCAAAAAATTTTAGAATTTAAATTGGCCCGTTGATTAAAAAGGTTGCTCACCCCTGCTCTAAATCATTTTTAATTCACTTTAGTAATTTACTGTGGTTTCATTGCTTTCATGACATTCAAATATTAAATGTTGTTCTTTATTCTGCAAACTTTATTTTTATTATTTAAAAAATTTATGATTTTATATTGTATAACTGTATTATTCAAATTTCAGTAACTATTTTTATAATTCATTATAAATGTCTTTAATATATTTAATATCAATGTATTATGTTTAAATAAATATAATAATTTACTTATTGTTTTCAATTTCAGCATGTGAATGCTCACAAATAGGTTCTATAAGTTCTGTTTGTAATCACGATAGTGGACAATGCTCTTGCTATAATAATTATGGGGGTCGTGAATGTAATCAGTGTGATTTGGGATATTACGATTATCCAGACTGCAAATGTAAGTAATTTTTGATTGATTGCATTTGATATTGATAAGTAATAATTAAGTGTTATGATTTTATTTTTATTATGCATGATTGAATTAATGCATTTTTATTTTATTTACATATCTAATTTTTTCTGAGACTGGAAGACCATACTTGTTCATATTTATTAACTATTTTATTTTTCTAGTTTGTTCGTGTGATCCTGACGGTAGCACGAAAGAAATATGTGATAACATCACTGGGGAATGTTTATGTCGACCTGGATATGGTGGTTCACGATGTGATCAATGTTTAGCTGGATATTTTGGCTATCCAAAATGCCAAGGTAATGTTTTAAAATTGTTAATGTCAAATCCTTTATTTCTAAATGATTTAAAGAGCTAACCTCATAAAATAACAATTATTTGTTGACCTTTTAATTTTTAATAATTAGAAAAAAATTAGTAACTCTATGTAAAACATAATATGTATTTTGTATTTATATTATCATAAAATAATTTAATTCATTTGAGGAAAAATTTCCAGTTATTTTAAAGTATTTGTGTTGTAAAATAGTTTTTTATTACTAAAATATTTTATAAAAATTAATATCTTGAAGGTATAGATTATGAAATTTTTAAATTTTACAGAATGTGGTTGTGATGAATATGGTTCCAGTAGTTCTGTATGTGATAGAACTGGAAGATGTCCTTGTTCTCCTAATTTTTCAGGACCAAAGTGTGACAAATGTTCTCCTGGATATTATAATTATCCTGAATGTTTACGTAAGTAATTTATAATATTCCATAAATATTATTTTTAAGTAATGTAAGTACAGTAGAGTCCTGATAACCCGGCAGTCCGGATAACTTGGCCACACCCTGGCAGGGCGAAAAAACCCCTAGTTAATTTTTATTATAGATAGCTTTATGCCTCAAAGTATTTTTCTGACATCTGTCTTATCAGGTAAATTACTGTACACTGTATTCATTAATTTTCATTTTCATGTAGTAAAGGCCTTCATAAAGTATGTACTTTTCCTTTGTTTAAGGGTATTTGGGCAGTTTATTCTCTGTTGTATTCTCAAGCAAACAATACATACAAGTACAGTACAGTATTTCCTGAGGAAACACTTGTACTTATTCTTTTTTAACCCCATTCCCGATAACCCGGCATTTTCACAAACGCGGCCACCCTTCAGTCCACATTAGGCCAAGTTTTCGGGACTCTACTATATCAACAAATTTAGAGAAAATTAGTGCTATTTTAATAAACACAGGAAAAAATTGCTTTTTTTCTGAAAGCCAAAATTCATTTATTAAAATAGAAATGTTTTCTGCTTACTCCAGGTCTTCTTTAAATGTTCAAGAATGAAATAGCAGTTAGCAGTTAGGAAATAAACAGAATCAGATAAAATTAGATTTTCTGCATGATATCCACTTATTGTACAGAATGTAATAAATTTTGCATTTTATTAAGAGCTGAATTATTCTTTAATGATTGTCCTATCCTTCTCAAGAACTTAGTTTTTTCAAATAAATGAATTTAAATTTAGTGTTAGCCATATCACTGACTAATGCCAATGCCCACATATCAGTAAAATTGTATAATTAGTATACTCATATAGTTGCTAGGTATACGTAGAAATAGAAATAGTTCATTAAGTTTAAAAAATAAAAATATTAAATATTATTACTACAGAATAATAATTTTGAAATTTCATTCTTTGAGATATCTGCATATATGTATAAAATTGAATTCATGTTTGTTTGTCTGTGTGGAGTACTGTGTGAAAATAGCTGAACTGATTTCTATGAAACTTTGTGCATATATTCAAGATTATCCCAGGAAGTACATAGGCTACTTTCCATTTTTAAAATCATTGGATTTTATAAGCTTCAAGAATTATGATCAGTTCTTTTGCATAAGTAGGAAGTTTTACCCAGATGATGGTGGGTGTGAAGTAAACATGCAATTTGAATACAATAAGCTAATGTGAACATTAACGAGTGAAAGTGGGTGTCAGTAAAAGCTGGCCAAATGTAATTTGATTGGTCAGTCTGCTATTTGAGCAAAATGCATGCAATACTAAACATATCACCATTCCCATTTTTATTTGTATCAGACTGACTGTAGAATTTATTTTAATGCAAAATTGTTTTTGATGAGATTACACTGAATTGAATTTTGAATTTGACATATTTTTGTGTTTTCTGGACTGAATTTTCATTCTTAGTTTTTCATAAAAGTCTTTGGATGTATATAAAACCAATGTTGAATTAATTTTATAAGGATGTGATCTCTATAATTATATTGTATGGAAATATCAGAATGGATGGGACGGGGAAGTTTGGAATGATCACATTTTGTCTCAAAATCAGTTAAAGATGTCATGCAATAAATTTCAATGATAAAGTAATGAATTGATTCATTCATTGTGAAATTTTGTTGAAAAATTTTGGCAAATACCAAAGTTAAAAAGAAAGTTAATTTTGAAACTTTTTATTTAAAATTTCTTTGATTCAGGAAATTTGATTAAAAACTATGAAGAAAGACCAGTTGTATTTTGAGTTCTAATGCCTATTAGCTGCCATTATTTTGAAAAACATTGAACAGGTTTACTTTTATTGATAAAGTTAAATTAGTTTAGTGATGCAACTCTAAATGAAAAATCCCACAGATTAAATTCTTTCATTTCTTTACTATATAGTCACATCATGTTGAAGAAAGATTGTTGATACATCTCGGTTTTTTTAAGTGAATCACACTGGTGTTCATTGTAATTTTGGCATACATTAACTGTACTTAGTATATTATTTTTCTGAGCAAAGCAGGTATTTCAGCTATTATTATATGATACTACGAATGCAGAAATAGAGCTACATATATAACATAGAAATTGAATTATACATACAATTTATCTGAATTTCCATTTTATATGTGAAACATGCAATGCTTTATGCTGATAACATAAATTTGTAAGTAGAAATTTAAAATTTTTAAAACACTGAATTAAATTTTATGCTTATTAGACTTTATTCTTTCAATTTATGTATCCTAGATAGAATTATTAGAAATTTATTTATGAAGTTTATTAAAAATTAAAAAATCAAGTAAAATGGCAAGGCCATTTTTGGGATGAGACTGTGTCTTGGAGCCTCAGGGCTCAACTGCACATCATTTTCTAATGAAAAGAGAAAAATGAGCACTAACCAATAAGGAAAGCCTGACACCAGTACTCGGGGTCCTGGTGTAGATTATGGCAGGCTTCATTGCCGCCATGGTTATGACAGGTTGTGTTGTCATGGGTCTGTTCTTGGCTATGGTAAGCGGGAAGATATTTGTACCCGAATTGTCCCGATGTTGCTCTTGACATTTTGCAGGATGGCCAAATGACGAGAGCAAGAGAATACATGCATAACGTGTGTCACACGTTTGTCAAAATTTGATTTTACAACGTTTGCATTTCAAAATTCTCAACAAGCAACGCATGCGCAAATCTTGCACTAGTGCCTGTTTGTAGAAACGGTGTCACCATTTTGTATTTTATTTTGACTTGGTTCTCAGTTTCCCTGACTACCTACAAGTCTGGGTTTTTTATGTGCATATGATTTGGGCACCAAATACTCTGTGCCAAATTGCAACTCCTGACATGTTCTCCTTCATAACTCTAAGGTATCCAGCCATTGATAGCAGTGCAATTTTATAGACAAGACATAGTCTCGCCAGTAACTTTCGTACTTTCATTTATTTTGGTAGATCTCTGTTATTAATTAAAATCTTTTTACTTTTTGCATAATAAAACTGATAAAACTTTTTCATGTTTAGCTTGTGATTGTGAAACATCAGGTTCATTAGGAATATCATGTAACAACGAAGGTCAATGCGTATGTCATTCAAATTTTGATGGAGAAAAATGTGATCGATGCCGTGAAGGTTTTTATAATTATCCATTGTGTGAAGGTAAGAGTAAATTCTATTTTTTTCTTCTTTCTACAAAAATTAAGAAAAATAAGTTTATCATGAAAAATTATAAAAAGTAATAATCATTCATAACATTCTGAATCACTTGAATAGTAGAAATTGATATATCTTTTAAATGAACTTAGTTTTATTTGCTTAACATTATAATAAGTTCAATTTTAATACTAATATAAATGTTGTTTTAGTAAATACTTTGCTGTTGGCTGATGAAAATGAAGAGAATAATCTAAAATAACATCAGGCTTGGGTTATCAATTCCTACTTGATGTTTTTCAATGAATGGGCACTACTTGCCCTAGATCATTTTTAAAGTGTTTGTTTATAACCTGTTCATTATAAACACTGATCAGGTTACCTCTGTCAACCTTTTGCAGCCACCTGTGTATTTTTCAGATGATCATACTGAAATGAGGAGACTCTCTTGTTCTCTACCAACACAACCCTTTTGTCTTTTTCCCAACAGATGAATGCCAGATATGGATCCCATTTAAGAGGACCATCACCATTATTCTCCAAATTGGAGTATGTGATGTTATATTATATAAGTAAACTGATCATTTTTTGGCTTGCTGTTGCCCAGTTTTTCCTGTACTTGATGCATGTTTACCACATTTTGTCAGAAGATGCCAAAGGTGGCAAACTAGCATCTCACAGTGCTACACTATGAGATCTTTTTTTTCATTTAATGTTGTTGGATTATAAAACTTTGTTATCTCTACAAAGTTAGACAATATTAGAACAGAAAACATATAGTAGAAAAGACTAATAATACTATAAGATTTCAATGATTTTATTGCATATTATTTTGACAGTATATATTAAACATTAAAATCCAAAATCAGTCAGAACATAATTCCTAGGCAAAAGTTTACCTAATTTAACTAAATAAAACTAAAATTAATTTAAAATATAATTTTTTATAATTATTGGTGTTTTAATAAGTGTAATTTGCAAAACTAAGACATCTTTCTATATATTTCTCTAAGAGAACTTTATTATGTTACATGAGTTTAATATAATAAAGTTCTTCAGAAATTATGGAAAGATATCTCAGTAGTTGAAGTTACAATAATTCTAAAAGTAAATGAGGTTTTGCTTCAACTACTTTTACCTAGTAAGATCATGTTCTAGTGGATTTCAGTTTTACTGTAATGTACAGGTTTAGTATGATTTATAATTTTTCAGAAAGAACTGGAAATGATAGATTAGTATCTAAAAAATGCCAAAGAAGCACTGAACTGCTCTAAAAAAGTTTAAATTGGTTTCTGTCACTGTTTAAAGTTAAATGTCATCAAAAATTTTGCTTAAAAACTAATATTTCAGCTAAACAAAATAAAAATGATAATTTTTGTTGAGTATTTGTAGATCCACTTTTTATCCTTGTTGTTAGCAAAGATTAAAAAAAATGGATAGAGATTATACATGTATTTATTCCATAAAAGCAAATATACAAAGTGAGAAAAAAACCACATGATAGAACAACTACCAAAACAGATCACGAGTAATGCAATAACCTGGATTTCATCATTACCTGAACCGTTCCTGCCCTCCAGATGAAAAGAGCTAAAGGCATGTGATAGTCACACAATTAACAATTTTAAACACTAAACAAAAAATTTAGACACTAAAATACTAAAACTGCCAAATCTAGTAACCTGTTCTCATCTTTACTAATGCTATTGACTGCAGATAGCATTTCTTAGAATCACTGTATTAAGAGAATACCACATTTTAATTCCAAAACTGAACAATAAATTAAAATTTAATTTACTGCATTACCATTATAAAGAAAAGAAAATATTAGGTAAAAGAAAAATACAGTAAAAGAATATACTGGTATATTGCTAAACAGAGATTTATTGCAGTAGAGCAGTGATTCTCAAAGTGGGGGTCGCAGAAAAATTGATGACAGATCAATTTTTTCAAATATTTTATAAATTTACTACGAATTCATGTTTAGAAATAGTAGATTCTTTTTGGCTTATTGTGAAAGCAGAGTATCCACTACTCTATGAATTAGCAATGGCAGTTCTCTTACCATTTGCAACCACTTATTTATGCGAAATGGCATTTTCAGTGATGACCAACATCAAAGCAAAGCAGCGCTCTCGTCTTTGCAACATAGAAATCGCTATTAGACCTGCACTGACTGATATTAAATCCAGGTTTAACTTATTGTGCTAAAATAAGCAGGCTCACCCATCACATTAAATTTAATTTAAAATATGTTTAACTTAACTAATTGAGTTTACTAATTTTGAAACATATACATAGAATATTTTGTTCAAAGATGTACCAAAGATAAGTTATTAATTTTTAATGATACTAAAAATAAATCTGCTATTAAAATTATGAGTGTTTCAATGCAATTAAACAAAAGAAATTAACTCCTTTTGAATTTAAATTAATCCCTTCCTTTGGGATGTTTTTCTACACATACCCATTCTTCAGGGGGTCCTTTGAAATTTTTAAGTGCAAAATGAGGGGCCGCGGACCAAAAACTTTGAGAAACATTGCTGTAGAGGATATTGTTCAGTTTGAAGTGTGGCACTTTTTCTGTCATAGAAAAAAAAGGAGACATTCGAAATTGATGAATCATCACAAAACTTTTGAACTAGCAGGGAGCAAAGCTCCCCTACAATTCTTATAAATATATAACTATAATAAAAATAAATACAACATAAAATGAATTTGTGCAACTGATATACATATATTAGTAGCAATGGATTGTGCCTAGAGGATTTGATCCCGGGATCTCGAAAATCGGGATCCCGACCACTTTTCAGTCCCAAAATTTTCGGGATTAAGTTTTCCTAATCCCAAGATTTTTGGGATTGACATCATTTTAAAAAAAGTTGCAAAATAGACTGCATGAAGCGAAACGTTCAGTGCCAGTGCTTTTAACAGAATTGCTTGCCTATCATTTTGATATAAAATACAAGAAATTTTATTCCAAGCAAGCAGCAGAAATTAACCTAGCGGGCTTGCGATGCTTGCTTGTAATAAAACTTCTTGTATTTTCAACTAAAATGATAGGCAAGCAGTTCTCACTGGGTTACTTGGTAATATACTTCATTTTTGTACTTTTGAATTTTCGCGGGCGCCAATCGATTTTCTGGTGCAGTCGAGAGCACTACTCAGTGCGTTTTACCTGTCAATGTGTCAGCCATCTTGTTTTGCCAGTGTGGTTAATATAGACCCGACGCCTCTCGCTTAGGGGGGTCGACCTTAGGTGAAAAGGTTACGACCCTCGCCTTGCCCGCGATCTGTCAGGATGATGCGAGAAAGTCTTTTTACGTTTCGGGGTAGTGGTTTGCTGGACGCTGAGAGACTCACACAGAGACCGAATTTACAAAATTAACGCGTTTATTTTTAGAAAGACATGCTTACAATGATCGAAACAATCGGGATTGTAGCCTTTACTCCTACAATCCCGATCCGTGTCGACCGGACTGTTTTCTTCCATCCTCCCCGTGTCCTCGAAGCTTATAAGTATTTACTAACGATTCCTCCAACTTCCATCAAACCTAAACGCGTTTTCTCAGCAGCTGCATATATGTGCAACAAATTGAGAAGCAGACTTGGTGATGAGACACTGGATGCGTTGTTATTTCTCAGATCATATTTTCGCAATTCAAATTAGAATGTTCCTATTAGATTAGTTTTCTTTATATTTAAGAAAAATGTGACTGATTAATATTATTTTTAAATACTTTTTGCTAAGAAACTTACTTTACTACCTACTTACTAGGTTGTTATATGAAAGTAGTCTATTTAGTCGATGTTAAGAAAGATTTTTGTTAATTTTCAACGTTTATTTGCATAGTTTGTTACATAAAGGTTTTTTCAATTTATGTGAGTTTAAAGAGATGTCAGTGATGCTTAAAAAATAATAAATTTAACATGAAACGGTGATTTTAAGTCTGGTTAGTCTGACTCTAAGTCTGATTAGTTAGAGCAGTGTTTTTCAACCTTTTTGAATACGCGACCCCTTTACGAGTTAAAAAATTCTGGCGACCCCCCTAGGGCCATATTAAAACTATATCAGTGATTATAAAAACTATGTATTTAATTTTTTTTTCTGTTGAGAGAAATTATTGTTGATTAAAACGAGAATTTGAGAAGAATCGACAATAACTTAAGATACGTAAAGTATGAAACTTGCTTTTCATTATAACATTGAGAATTACTTCTACTTTCCTACTTATTACTTCTTTTTGCAAGTCAGCTTAACACTTTTACGCAACACTTTTATGCAACACTTTTTGCAAGTCAGCTTAACACTTTTATGCAACACTTTTTGCAAGTGTTGCGTAAAAGGATCTACAAACACTTGTCTTTTTCTTTTACCCGCGACCCCCCGTGTAAGGCTTCACGACCCCCCTGGGGGTCGCGACCCACAGGTTGAAAAACACTGAGTTAGAGTGATTAAATTAACTAGGTGTATACCGTAAAATACGTTGATTTTTGTCTAAATTTTGATTTTTGATTTCTGTAAGATTTTCTTATTTTTTATTAACACTCAATACCGAAATGATCCCGGGATTGAATAAGTATAATCCCGAAATCCCGGGATTAGAAATAAGGACCGGGATCGAATTCCCTAATTGTACCACATGCCTACTAGTAAGTAATAAAGTGTGTTTGGTCATTAATTCTACTACATTCATTTTTAATTAAAATGTCATGTAATATTTCACTTTCAAAATTTTAGATAATTGTGTATCTGTGTAGATTTATTGTGTATATTGCATTTCTAATATACAATTATTAAATAAATTATAAAAATGTATGTATTTTTTATCACATTCTTTTTTTAATTTATTATTTTGAATGTTGTAGAATGTAATTGCAATCCGGCTGGAATTTTAGCGACGTTTGGGGGTTGCGGAAGTTTAACAAGTGGAGAGTTGTGCGAATGTAAACGTCACGTGACCGGTCGAATATGCCATCAGTGTCAAGCTTTATATTGGAATTTAAAAGCAAATAATCCTGACGGATGCGAAGGTATTTTTTATTAACTATTATTTAAATACCAAACTTATAAAATATTAAACAAATTATTTATTCCTTAAATATTTGTAAATATAAAATTAAAATAATTAATACAAATACAGCAGAGTCTCTATAGTTTATCACTCGCCAGCCCAACATGTTCAGTACTTCAACACTGCATAGGGCAGCACAAATGAAATTTTTGTGGTACCACTTGATATATGAAACAGAGAGAGACTGATGTATGTGTATACTGTCAGTTGCTAGTTGTCTGTTGCATGTGTGGTCAACAGAACATTCACAGTCATGATTATTATGATAAACTAATCTGTGATCCAAATATGATTTTTTACTGTACAGTATGTATATACATGCAAAACCCAGTAATTCGACAATCTGCTGTAATCTGACACTCACCAATCTGATATATGTCAGATTACAGAGAGACTGCTGTGATTTATTGACAGTAAATTAGTATTCTGTTATTAAGTTGTTGATGTTATTTAATTGAATGTAAAAACATAAAATTTGACATTATGAAAGTTTAAATTTTAATCGTTAAAAATTTAATTCTTCTCATAAATCTTAAGATTTAATGATTTGTGGACAATATAAGTATATTTAATTCTCTCAAATATTGTATTTACTTAAGATTGTGATAATGTATTTCTTTTATCTGTTAAATATCATATACAGTAGAACCTCGATTATCCGGACTAATTGGGGATGAAGGTAGTCCGGATAAGGGAAAATCCGGATAATCGAAACAAATACTTTAGTTTGTCTTTTAATGATAATATAACACGTTTTCTTTTCGATGACATATCGGTAATATTAAAAGTAAATACTGTATTTAAATCGTGATCAAATTTTCAAGAAACAAACGTTCGTATTGAATTTGGACTACTACTGACCAACGCTAACAGACTACCTATTGTTTAAAAGGCCCTCTGGTGGCGCAAGAAGACGGATTTTATAAAATAAAAAGCAGTTGAAACTGCATTTTTATGAATAAAAACTTGATAAACTATTTATCGTTTTATGACGAGTAAAATTTTTTCGTGGCGTTCGCGGCTTTTAAGTAATGCATAAACCTTCGAAACGCGAGGCCCTTCGGACCGCCAGGCATAGGCGGTGGCCCACGTCGTCCATGCCTTACGCCGCCCTTGGTCATAGAAATGATGTAATTTGAATATAAATTATTTATAAATACGTATGTCAAGTTATATTTTTATTACTACGTAAAATATATTTAAGAGTTTACTACCACTGTGCTGGGTGAGACGTTGTTGAAACAAAAAAAGTTATGCATTCCATCACGTACATAAACAGTGTCGTAATTCGCCAAGTGCAAATCAGCAAATTCGTAAAATTTTTGTATATTTTGAGCAATCCGGATAATCGAAAATCCGGATAATGGAGGTCCGGATAATGGAGGTTCTACTGTATTATATACAAATATAATCATTTTCTACTTAACAATATATATTTATACTAATTTAGATAGCATTTTAGAATGCTTTAATTTTTTCTGAATATTTTCCATTTAAAATTGCACTGAACTATACTGAAAGCTAAGTAATAAGTTGCCAATAGATTTTTATATATTTTTCCATTAATTTACTTTTATTATTATTTAAGATTCAATATTTATTTTCAAAATAATGTACCAGTGAGCCTGTTACCGGTGTGCGTCTCTTACTAAGAGACACACACCGGTAACAGGCTCACTGGTACATTATTTTGATTTAATCCATGTAGTAATATTGTATTTTATTTATTTTCATTTAAATGCTTTTTTTTTAATCATAAGGATTATCACTAATTTTAAAACAAAAATAAAATTATTAATTCTTTGAAAATAGATTAGTCAGTATAAGATATATCATCATTAGAAATGCAATTATTATATTATACAGGGTGGTCCATTTTAATTAATTCACTGGAATAATTTGAAAAATATGCATCCTACGAAAAAAATCTTTGAATCAAAAATGTTCAATGAATGTTACTTCAAGGGATAAGATGGGGCTATTGATTTTATCATAGACACTACAATTAGTAAAAACAGGGTTAACTTCATTTTCCTAAATGAAAGTCCCCACTTTTTATTGCATATTATGAGTCTACATCAAAATCAAACCTTTATCTAAAATGTTTTTTTTTCTTTAATGCAGCCAACACATCATGCATGTGCAGGTCTGTGGATATCTGTGTTCATTGGAAAAAAGCAAGAAAATGCTTTTTTTCTAATGAACTTCACAGATTTATCATTATTATATGAACTTTAATGATCTTAAATTTACTCAATGCATTTTTTATTTTAATTAAATTTTTGGCAGAATACTTAATTAACATGAGTATCTGTCACATTTTCTCCTATAGCAAAGAACGTTTAAAGACATTCCATTTTGCTGAAAAAAGTCAATTGTCTGTTGGAAATGTCTTAAAATTTTTAATAAAACATTTCATGATATATTTGCACAAGCTGTTTCAATTTTCTTGATCCTATCTTCTCTAGATCTTAGTGTCTGTTCATAGATGACATTCTTTAAATATTCCACAAATAAAAGTCAGTCAAAATCAAGTCTGGCAATCTTGCGGACCACTGTATTGTCCATGTTGTATATTAAAGGACTTATTTAAATAACTTACTACAATTTGTGCACAGTAGGCCCTACTCCAATTGAATCCATATAGTTTGTTTTATATGAAGATCAACATCTTTAAGTAAAACTGGTAGTTTATCTCATATGAAATCCAGAAAGTTTACTTTTCCACAATTTCATGGAAGAAAAGTGAATCTGTTAGATAACCATTGATAATGTTTGTGCAAAAGTTTTTGCAACAGTTCATTATTTGGAGAATAAGAATGATTCCATTAAATAATATTGTAGTTTTTTAATGATATTATAACATTTTTCTTCTTTTTTCTCTCAATGAACTTTATGGATATTCACAGATGTGGTGTGGTGACCATGTAAAAATTCAAATGCCCATAACCTCTGATAAGTACACCTTTCAAAAAAAGTATCTTAGATAAAAGTTCATTTGTTTTGGTATAGAATCATAATATGCAATAAAAATGATGGTTCTTATTTAAGAAAATGAAGATTGACTGTTTTCACCAATCATAGTGCCATATAGGATGAAATCAATAAACCATCTTGTGGCTCCCTTAAAGTCTAATATATTTTTGAATCAATGATTTTTTTTGGTAGACTGCATATTTTTGAGTTTTTCCAGTGAATTGATTAAAATGGACTACTTTGTGAATAATGATAGTTCCATAGTATTGTATTAAGAGCCAACCCAAAGAACAAAAATATGATTAGAAATTATATTATAATTTCTTACTTTTGGGATTTTATATTAAGAACTTTTAAACAAATTTTTATACTTTTTGTGAACTGAATTATAATTTTGTTAACTTATAACAAAACTTGATACAAAAACTTTTATCATAGACACTACAGTCAGTGAAAACAGGGTTAACTTCAGTTATAAATTGTTATAATTTAAAGAAACTGATTGAAAATTGATATGAGTTTGAATGAATCAAATATATTATAATTTCTTACTTTTGGGATTTTATATTAAGAACTTTTAAACAAATTTTTATACTTTTTGTGAACTGAATTATAATTTTGTTAACTTATAACAAAACTTGATACAAAAACTTTTATCATAGACACTACAGTCAGTGAAAACAGGGTTAACTTCAGTTATAAATTGTTATAATTTAAAGAAACTGATTGAAAATTGATATGAGTTTGAATGAATCAAATTGATTAAAATATAATATATTTAACCAATTTTATTATTTTGCAAAGAATAAATAAGTTTTTGTTCAAAATTTCTATAATAATTACAATATTTAAAATAAAAATGATAGAGTATCAATCAAATTTGATTTTCTGCTTTCAAATACCAAACAGCCAAAGTCCTTACTGTGCTATATGGCTAAATAATTTGGCAAAAGGCAGGCTACCCATCTCTTATTAAATTAAATTAAATTAATTCATTCATAATTATTATATTTTAGAATGTTCTGGAAGAAAAGATCAGCCCAGAGCAGGACTTGAACTCACAACTCCTGCTTACTGTGCAGACATGTTGTCAGTTATGCTACTTTGAGCTCTGTCCAATCTTTGCTTCCTTGCTAATTTAATAATTTAAATGTTACTGTATTGGTCACTAACCATGGAGAATTATAGATGCTAAATCTTCCCAATTGTCTGTGAGTGACTAATATGGTTATATCTAAATTATTTATTTAGTCTGGAAACAAAAATCAGATGGAGGTCTGGATAGCATAACTGGTGATTGGTTCTGTATAGTAGACAGAAGCTGACTATGGGTTCAAATCTGCTCTTGGCTGATTTTTTTTTGCTTTCAGAATATTTTAAAATAAAATAAAATTTTATTTATTTATAATTATTATACTTAATAAGTGATAATGGCCTGGTAGCCTGACTCCTGCCAAATTGCTTAGTAATTATGTAGCCAAATAAATAAAACTCACGCCAAAATTGTATAGCCTTCTTGATAAAAAGCACTGAGTTCAGCGTTAATACGATTTTTCTTGTATCGCAAGTACTTTCGACGAGTATTATATCGTCGTCTTCAGGCGAAAAAAAGAACAAAATTTGAATTAGAACGTGCAGAATGTTCCAAGTAGGAAACGGAAAATTTTTCTTGTCAATTTCTAAATTATAGCGTTCGGTAATTCCGTTGGTCACGTGCAACAAGCTTTTGCTGGAGTTCGAAATATTTTAAATCCACACGACTAGCAGCGCATGCGTTGAGGAGCGATCGTACTAATTGTGCGACTCTTGGCGCTTTTTGCTATTTAAACGCTGGTATAAAGTAACCCATATTTCGGGCAAGTCGAGTGTGGGGACGTTGCATGCGTCTGTGGTCATTGTAAGGAGCGCTTCCCAAATAAATGTAATTCTTCTGTTGTTACAGCTCCTGAGCAACGCTGTTTTTGACCATAACGGGTTATAGCCCTGCTGTAGAACTTTTCTGGCGAGCTCTGTGGTCTGTCTTCCTTTGTTTATATCATCTTGATGTTCTGCGATACGGCAAGCGAGCATTCTTGTCGTTGCCCCTATATACTTCTCAATTGTCCCCGTTATTGGATTTTCCAGTTGCACTGCGTATATTCCCGATTTTTCTAAAACGTCGACTTTATCCCGATCATTGCATATACTCCTGCGTAGGTTGGGTAGGGTAGTTAAAGGAAGAGTAAAGCTGTATCGCCGGAAAATTCAATCGCATGTTCTAATTCAAATTTTGTTCTTTTTTTCGCCTGAAGACGACGATATAATACTCGTCGAAAGTACTTGCGATACAAGAAAAATCGTATTAACGCTGAACTCAGTGCTTTTTATCAAGAAGGCTAATTATGTAGCCTTATAGCCTGATAAAGTATCCATTTGTTTGTTTGGTATTTGAAATAATTATTGGATTAATTGTGTTTATTCTCTGTTTTTGTTAAACATACATAGATCTCTCCTGTTTTGGAGATGAAGACTAAAAAAAATTCCATCTAAGTTTTACTGATTTCAGACTTTTCAGCTTTACTCTGGGATGCCAACACTGTTTATGCTGGTTTCCTTCTTATGATCATAATAGTACAGTGGGTGATTGGCTAACGAACAAATCAGATAACGAACAAATCGGATAATGAACACTTTCGCGAAAGATTTTTATGTTTGGACTACGAACACGTGATCAGATAACGAACACCCCACAGAACAAACACAAGAAGAAGCGATGTAAAATAAGGAATACCGATTGGTCTTCCCTTGTCTTCGGGCAACAATTCAAAACTTTTCGGAGTGTGGGAGACGTCGACATCGACGCTCAAGCCGGTATATACCAATCAGATAGTATTCCTCCGAACTTTGAAACTCTCCCTTGTAATTCCAGCTTTTTATTTTTCTGACAATGCTTTTATGTATTTGCGAGACTGTCGGGTAGGCACTCGTTAAGTTTGGCGTCTGTTTTTCTTTTCGAAAGGTGAGAATATGATAGCAAAGGTATATGATAGCAAAGGTAGAGAGTGGGCAGAAGATGCCTAATGTTGCTGGGCAGTATGGCATGAACAGGTCTACAGTAGGCTGCAGTTCAATCTTTTTTAAGAAAAATATTGTATAATCAAGAAGACTCAAGCAGCTAAAGGAGTAACAAAAATCACATCTGAGAAATAAAGAACATCAAAGAGTTCATAATGGAACCTGAAACGGAACTGATGACAGAAGAATGCCAAGAAACTCTGCGAGACATGTTTTCTTCTGAAAAACAGAATTAATGTTGATATCTGCTATTAAACAGTTTTTTGCAGAAGTGAGATGATGTCAGAATGATGGTCTTACAATGGCATCCAAACCAGGTAGACTTAGGGATCTCTACAATTACAATGCTATTAATTACTTACGAAAAATCCTGAAAAAGAGAGAAAAGCAATCGACATTAGACAGATTATTTAACCCCAACAAACAGAAAAAACATGACTAATAAAAATGCAAGACTGTGTGTATATGTATTTTTATTATTATATATAAATAAACGTAGTAAGAAAGTATGTATTTTTTATTTTTGGAGGTCTCCAGAACGATTTAATTAAATTTCCATTAAAACCTATGGTAAATCGATAATTGGTTAACAAACAATTCGGATAGCGAACAAAGTCTTGGAACGGATTATGTTTGTTAACTGATCGCCCACTGTATTGGTACTTGTGAGGATCATTGAAAAGCTCAAAAATATTAGGATTTAGATAGAATTTTTGACTTGATTTTCCAAAAACTCTTAGAACTGTGTAAGTGGAAGTTGAGAAGATTTCTCCATTAAAAATTTATTTTGAATTTTGCAGGATCAGATATCAAAAAGTTGGCATTATTTTTCATGCAAAATAACATTAAAGTCTTGAAAATATTTGTGCATAGATAGCAGTTGTTTGAAGTTACTAATTCACTGAAAATCAATAACAGAATTCACTTGAAATTAAAAAGTATAGAAGTGTAACTTTTATGTTTTCTAAAAGTTTTAAAATTTTATTTACACTCCTCAATAAGCTGTTTTGAATAATCACTTTTAATAATTAGCATGTTTTGGACACTTTTAAAAAATTAAATATTATATAAAATTTGACAATTTAAAATAAAAATTACACAAATTTTCTACAATAAAACAGTTCTAAAACATTAATAACATCAAAATCTTCAATTATTTCAAACAAACTTGATATAAAAGAAAAGAAATAAATATTGGTACATTAAAATTTTTGGTCTTATTTAATGTTTTTCTCAGTCAAATTGTCATTAAATTAAAATTTGAAGTAATTGCATGCAAAGTTAAAATTACTACAAAATTGATAAATTAATTTTAAATTTATAATAAATTATTGTAGTATTAAATTGGAAATTAAATACTGATTTTATGTTTGTCGTTGATCAGTTTTAATTTTCAATTATTAAATGTTGATATATTTCTTTGATAATTTATCAAATAAGGGGTATAACATTAATATTTAATTAGTGAATAAATATAATATCATATATGTATTGTGTGTACTTTAAATGTCACAATCCATAAAGGATGATTTCTCAAAATATTATAAAGTTTCTTGACAGGTTAAGAACAGCTAAACTAAATAAGGGTAGTGAAAAAAAATGCAGAAAATCAAACAATAACAAAAGCAAGAATGGGGTTTACTGTCCAGAATTGTTCCATATTAAAAATGTTTAGTTCAATGATTATGATATACAGTAATACCCCGAACTTACGCGATAGGTGGGACCGAGCAATAACCACGCAAGTCGAATTCACGTAAGTCAGGGTATAATTTCACAATTCGTGTAAAATCCAAGTCAGATGTATGTAAGCTAATAAATGTTCTCGTTAATCTTATCTCGTCTTTTGATTTGATCATGGTTACAAGAAATCACCACATAATCTTTCAAGTCTCCTTAGATATAACAAACACAGAAATAAATAACACAAAATAAATTGCAGCTATGTGTCGATTCTGCGCAACACATCTGAACACGTAAGCTGAACAATAGTGTGGGGGGAGTGAGTAATCAAGAGTTGCGTGGTGCTCAAACAAAAGACAAATAGACGAGATTTGAAAATCGAGGAAGTCGAGGTATTACTGTATACTTTTTTAATACAATATAACTACTATAAATATTAAATACTAATGTTAAAAATATTTTTTTTATTTTTTATTTTTAAATCAGATTGTAATTGCTATGGACCCGGCACGTTAGGTGGGATCGGAATGTGTGACGGAGTAACCGGCCAGTGCATGTGTAAACCTAACGTTGGTTCGCGTCAGTGCAGTGAATGCAAAGATGGAAGTTATCAGCTAGAAGAAAATAATCTTTTTGGTTGCCATGGTTAGTTTAAAGAATTAAAATTTCTGCTATTTGATTTTTACTATTTTTTTCTCAAGAATATATTTACTCTATATGAATGCTAATAATATTTTAGATGGTCTTTCTAAATGCCATAGTTTTATAAAAGGAGATTGAATAAACTAATTTTTCTTTACATTATTTTTTTATGAAACATTTAATCAAAAATTCTTTCTCATTTATTGTTCTAATTATTTTATCATCCTAATCATCCTAAATGTAATATCCAACATTGCCATAACTTATTTTACAGATATTTAATATATTTTTTATTAAATACTTTTAAAATAATTTAGTTATGATTTTGTTAAAAAAGAAAATGTTTTATATATGGTATGATCCTGTTTTATGTGAAGGTTGTGTGCCAGCAAATACCATGCTAAACAAAATTCCATGTAAATTTTTGCTTCATCCCAAATAGTTCCAGACAATTGCCTTGATATCTATACAACCATTCATAATTAACAGAAAAACTTTAAAATGTGTTTAAAACGTTTTAATTATAGTCTGTACTAAAATTTTAGTTTGATGTCTCTGAATATATAGAACAAAATTTTATACTGTATTGAGTATATTACTGTATTTTTTTATATATAACTCACAATGACATATACCCACAGAAAATTGCTACAATAAAAACAAAACCTATAACCTATAAGTCTCACTGTATACCATATGCATATGGGAGCAGTCATTTCTCCACAGGCACAAGTTTATGATTACAATTTAAAATTGGTATATATGTAGAAAGATTTAACAGATAAGTCTATAGGAAAGTGGGTACCCATTCTTCACAGTAGTCTTGGGCATGATGCCAATCCAGATCTTTGTTTCTTGGGGGAAAATGGATGATCTCTGTTTTGTCCTTTCTGCAATTTTTCTGTGGTATCAGTGGTATAAAAATAATAAAATTTTACATACAAATTAAAACCAGAAGAAATTTAACCAAGTTATAAACCGTTGCACTGCGAACGTCTAGTCTGGTCTAGTACACCAATAGTGCTACTTGTTCATAGGTGGCACGTATAATTGAATTATGTCGTATACTGAGCAAAATTTATTTTGTCCAAACAAGACGTATTCCAAATTGGACGTATTCTAAAGCAGATGTATACCGAGGTACCACTGTATATTTAAGGATTTACATGTCTAGATTATAGTAATAAGTATTAAAACTTTATCACGAAAAAGGATATTTTAAAAAATTACTTCTACAGACACTTTTAATTTCTACTTAGAAATAGATAATTTTATTTATTATAAAGAAGTCAAAACAAAAATTTATTTGAAAAAAACAAATATTTGTTTTATTTGGGTCTTTAATTAATAAAACAACAATGAAACACCATTTTAAAGTGCATTTTTATTCAACTAGTATATTTATAAATAATAAGTAGCTCAAAATGTAGCCAATGTGCCAAATGATATTTATTTTTATGCCAAACTAAAAAAAAGAGTACCTAAATTTGGCACAAAGTGACAAATCTTGCAACACTGAAAGGAATATTAAATAAAGCTAGAGTTGGAATTCAAAGGGTTATATATCCAAATTCGGGGAAAGGAGAGAAAGGTCAAAAAATAAAGAAGTGAGAAAGGTTAAATAGACATTCTGTTATGCAAATATTGATCCTTAATTTTCCAACCTTTCTCACTTCTTTTTGTTTTTTGGCCTTTCTCTCCTTTCCCTGAATTTGGAGCTATAATCCTTTGAGTCACGACTCCAGCTTTATTTAGTGCACCTTCCTCATTCACACATTTCAAATATTTGAAAATATTTTCTTTCTATTAAAAAATAAAACATGTATTGTGGCGAACGCCGCCCTTCACATCTGTACCCTCAATGGTTGTAAAAGACAAGCAATTACCCCAGGGTGTATGAGTCATCACTTCCTGGAATAAATTCGAACTCACCCCACAAAGACTGTCGAAAACCAGTTGTCTTTGTTAGCTGCGTCATCGAGACGTGCAGTACCAAGTACGCAAGAAGGTCAATAAAAGTTTAGTTTTTGTTACGATCTTGTCTCGTTCGTTTCTTCCACTCGCAGCAACGAAAGATAAAGGCAACAACAACGCAAAAACCACAGTATAAAAGTTTACGGCTTTGTGAAACTTCTTTTTTGAGGTTTATGCCGCTGAAATAAATAAATAAATAATTTTAAAATTTTCTCAGTTTTGTTTACACGTTTATTGGGCCGCATTGGAACTTGCCTTGGACCGCATGAGGCCCGTGGGCTGTGGGTTGGACACCCCTGCACTAGAGTAAGCCTACATTTTTGGCCTACTCTAGCATTCATTGCTTGTTGCAAAATGATGTCATGTTGGTAGACATAACAAGCACTAGACTTGTTTCATTCAAATGGTTACCAATTTCAATTGCCTCAACATTGGCAGGTCTGCAACTTAACAACAAACATTATAGATAATTATCTATATCTACAGTATTTACTAACAAAGCACTGATTATATGAGATGATATAATTCACATTGTAACAATGAGAAGACAATGCTCAGCTTATGAAAAATATTATTTTCTGTAAGCTCATTGTCTTCTCATTTTCTTTAAGGTGAGCATTGTTGCTCAGGCTTTGAATTGCTGTTAGAAAACATCACTTTGAGACTAATGAAAAACTTTGGGAGGCCCTTTTGCAATTTGGCATGTATGCATGGTTTTTTTAGATAAACAAATAGTTTTATTCGCAAAGACAATTTGATTAGTAGCATGTGAGCTTCAGTAAAACAAGATCATGCTGTATGATAATATATATTCAATTTTATGAAAAATATAATTAATTAATATTTAATAAAATAAACTTTTTATGTACATTTCGTAGATTGTGGTTGTAATATTGGTGGCTCCGTAAATAATAACTGTGATAAAAATTCCGGACAGTGTGCATGCAGACCACGCATCAACGGTCGACAGTGCGATAAGGCACTCCAGACTCATTATTTTCCAACCCTGTATCAACATCAGTTCGAAATTGAAGATGGACGCACTCCAGCTAATACTCAAGTTAGATTTGGATTCGATGAAAATATTTTTCCTGGCTATTCTTGGAGAGGTTATGCAATATTTTCTGAAATTCAGGTTAGTAACTTGAGAATAATAGAAAATCCAAATCTTTAAAATAAAAAGTCTTAAAGTTTTTTATTTTTCTTGTAAAGTTATTTTTATATTACTGTAACAGTTTTGATTTGAATAGTATTAATTTTTTATTAAAATTATATTGTTAATTTTTCGTATTTCTATTATTTTAAACATTCCTGATCATTACTTTTCTGACTATTTGATTAATGTTTTGTTTAATAGCTGTTATCCAATCTTGTTATATTTTAAAATATTATGAAAGACTCAATGACATGTTGTTTAAACTCTTTATCTCAGATTTCTTTATCATAGTGTTGTTATAATTTCAGTTTAGAATAGAGCTTTTTTTAAACTTTTTCCATTTGAAACACACTTTTATCAGAGAAAATTTTACATAGCACTTGGTATATCGATGTATAACATAGATATAATAAATCATAAAACAGTTTATTTCAAAAAATCACTTATGGCTGCTGCTATTTTCGTTGTGTATTTGTCTCTTTAATCCGATTTTCAGTTCGGTAGACTATCATATACAGCATTCAGGTTATGAACTTCTTTTATTGGTTTGTCATATGCATTTCGGACTCAATTGTAATTTAAGTCCCTCTTCAGTACAAACTCAGATTCTGTTTTCTAAAAACCTCGGTGTATAATTGGTAACGTTGGAAAAGATTAAAAATACAGCCATTTAAAAAACACTTCAACTACATATTCACATTAATACGTTGCACACTTTACAAATGTTCATAAAAACCTTTACAATTACAACTTTTTTCAAGAAAAATTCGTATGCACTTTATTGAAATGTTGCAGCAATAATGAACGTTTTTTTC